ACACACACACACACACACACACACACACACACACACACACACACACACACACATAGACACACAGACACACGTGTGGAAATAAAACAATAAATGGAGGCCGGCACATTTTTTCTATTGTGACTTCAACTTTTTGAAAAATTAGGGCTGATTTGGGACTTTTGAACAAATCAGATTCCATCTTGTAATTTTTACTTGCTGTCAGAATAATGAATATACTGAGAACTACAGCGGAGCATTGAATTCTTATGTTTTCTTAAGCAAGGAAATAATTACATGTAATAATACTGGATGGTAGCAAAACTATAAAAAAATCTCCGAAACCGGCGCCTCAACAAAAAAAAACTAATTTGATAACTCAGAATGAAAAGTGTGTAGCTGCTGATAGAAAAGAAAAATTACCTGTGGTGGAATTTCAGCGATGGATGCCCCTGGTCTTGTGAGAAAATAAAATGTCAAAAGGGTTTCTATCGTAAGCGATACCCTGAAGAAAGAAAAGGTAATAAAAGTGTGACTAATGCCACATGTCCCCAGGTACACACACACACACACACACACACACACACACACAATAAAAGCTTCTTCTGTCCTTTAAAACTCTGAGCATTATCCCTTGCTTCACTTCTAGGAGTAGTCTAACTGAAGAAGTCAAAGCTGGGAAGTATTAGAGTTTCTCCACATTAGAAATCTATTTTATCTCAGCTTTAAACTCCAAAAACAACTGGTTGGCTATTCCCTCATTTACAGCCCTTGAATGTTTAAGATAACTTAGTGTTCAGGCACAGGTCTCTGTGTTTGCCTCTGTGCTTTACTGCACTGACTATGCCAAAACTCTGATCCCCTATATGAACTTAGAGATGTGTGGTGGATTAGGTTTTAGCACCCCCTACCATCTGTAGGCTGGGAATCAGGAGGGCTATATGTTTATGTCAAGACTTTACAATTTGCTGTTGGGAGCTCTCCTGAGCAGAAAGTTGATCTTTATAGTTGCAGAGTCATGTTCTGTGCTGGTGCATTAGACGACAGTGTTTCTGGGAAACAGATGTGAATGCTGCTGAAGCATTAATGTTGCAAATGTCAGGGTTTATGCTAAACAGAATTTTAAAGAGGATACAAAATTTAATATCCAAAAGGTGGATGCTAATTGTTAAGTAGACTAGTCAGCCGATTTAAATACATAAATTTACTTGTATGGCATCTCAGATGAATGCAGCTGTTTGTAACTACTGAAATATGTTTTTTTTTTATCTATTACAATTAGGGCTTTCCTGGGCCTGCAGGAAAAATGGGGATAAAAGGGGTGAGGGTAAGTAGATGTTGCAGTTCTTCTTGGTGGTGGTGTTGGGATGTGTGTTTTTGTAAGACTCTCTATGGTACTTTGCAAGTCTTTTGCCATTTCTTAATGTTTCCTGTTTTTGTCATGCTCCCTCATGTAGCAGCTACTGATGGCCACAGGGGAGAGCAGCATGTTTCTTCTCTGTTGGACCTTCGCTTTCCTTAAATGAGCTGTGAAAATCATGCTAATTTAATTACCTAACCAGTGTGGTTGTATAAAACAGCCAGTGTCATAAACACCGCTCATCTTTCCTCGTTAACGCGACGATAATGGTAACAGATGGTTTTCTTCATATATTTAAAGTATGTTAGAGTCAATACAGTTTTTAGTAATGCTAGCCAGAGATCATAAAACTTTATAGCTGTGCTGCATAATGCATCCAGATGCAAGCTTCTCATTTCATGTCATTGTTATTTCTACTTTTCCACTGAGCAGGTTTGGCATGAAGATCTCCAGAGATCCCTGATGTGAGGGTATGTGCCCTTGGACTACATCGTGGAAGCCAGCACCATGCAGTCCATGGGCATATACACTTGCTTCAAGGTTTGGCTCTTCGAGACCACTCAACTGTAACAAAAACCTTGCAGAGCACTGTTGCAGATGGACCCATCACAGCTGAAGGCTTTATAAAGATTTTTAGACACGTGTTAGTGTTATTGACAGTCCTACACAATGCCCAGCATCTTTGCTCAGTCTCATTATGTCCCCTTATCCACCTTTTGCTTTTCCATCTATCTTCGCCTTATCTGTTCCTTTACTCCATCTTTTATTTATCTCTCCAGGGTCACATTGGCATCCCTGGGCTTTTTGGCTTTCCTGGTCCTGATGGCGAGAGAGTGAGTATTAGTGGCTTTGAGAGAGAATACCCACTGGGCTGCATTATGTCCCAAAAATGATGAAATGGAAATGAGACCCAGATTAGATTTACTTGAATAAAACAAGGGCATTAGATCAAAACACTAAGACCACACTAGGCAAACCTATCCATTACTCTTGAGTAAAAACAATGAATGCACAATTTTGTATCCAATAAGTTGAGCTTCAAATGTCTTATCTGATGAAATAACCTCACCTCATGATCCATTTTATAGCTCTTCTGTTTATCAGAAGTTCAGATTTCAACTTTCTCCTGAACACTTCTGAGGATCATGATGTAATAATATAGAAAACTACAGAACAGCTGTTAAATGGACCCTTTGAGATTGTTTTGTCATCTGCTGATACCAAGCTGAAGGATGGAATTTGAATATTTTATCCCCTACCCCCCACAGTTGGTAAAGTTTCAAGAAATGGTGTTCTCTGCTTTCAGTCAATAATTTTGTTCTTGTGAGGAGCATCAAAACTACACACCGCCCGATAGATTGAGTCTTATTGCTGAATGTTGTCCAGGTTTTGAAATGATGTACTCTTCTTCTTATCCATTTCTTTCCTGTTCGTAGGGAATTCCTGGTGTTCATGGGAAGAAGGGCAAGATGGGTAGGCCGGTAAAGTTTTCTCTCAACATACTTCTCAGTTATTAATGTAGCCTTATGGCAATGACAGTGTTTGTGATCTATGGGACCTTACTGCAGTGCAGAGCTACTATAAAGCCCATTAAATGACCATTACTCTGACAGAGACTTCAGTTCAGTGTGAAACCCCTCCTGGCCTTACTCGTAAATACATATATGAGGCACAAAAACTCAGCCTACTACAGTCTAAGAGGAAGCATAGATTCCTTTAGTACATATCAGAAGATTATAATCATATTCCCACTAAGCTTATTGCTAGTTTAATGTTAAAAAATGCTATCTGTCTATAAATCTCATGATCAGTGCAATTAATTTTCTCTGACTGAAGTTGATTAGGAAACTTTCTGTGTTAAACAGTGTGCTTATTACTGTTCTTGTGTTGCGTTAGACTGATAGGCTAATATAATGTGTCAGTTGTGGGTTTGGCCCTCTGGAAGCTCTACCCACAGACGAGAGAGGTCTATTGTCATTGGCGCCTGGAAGCAAATTTCCCGTCCTTCCAAGCTTACATGGAAAATACTAATACTGCACATAACCACTTGTATGAATCACATATTTTTCCCAGGCTTAGTCTGGTTGAACATGATTTTTCAGTCTTATTATGCTGCAATGGTCAGCGACACATGCCAAGGCCTAAGAGTAAGCCCTTCATTGCCAAGTCATGAGCAAGCCATTTCTCTTCCTCTGTGGTGAAAAGTGAGATCAGTTTGTGTAAGAAGTTGGGTTTTTTTTGTTTTCCATCCTGACTCAGCAGCAGTGCAAGAGAACCAGACAAGCAAAAGAGCTGGCACATTCTATCAAATGGGAATATGTGTGATGAAAATTGTCTTTTTGAATTCAGATTTTGAATGACATCAAACTGCTCCCATTTTCTTGTGTCACCCATACAGATAGAATGACTGGCTAGAATTTGCACATAGCTTTGAGAAGAGACTTTCATTGGACAGATCCTATAATTAAATCCTCACTGAGATTTACTGTCGGCACGAGAAAAAAAGAGTTGCATGTGTTTCTGATCAAAACTGAGAGAGTTATTGACAGTTTGGGAGCAGCAAATTTTTCCGTGTTTCTTGTTTTTTCACCATTTACTGTTTATTTCTTGATCCACTTTTGCCTAATTTTCTAAAAAAGGAATGATTGTTTGCCACACTAGCAGCCCCTAGCTTTGCCATCTGTTTAAGACTCAAGCCCTTTTTGATCTTTCCCTCTGTAGACACGATAAAAGAGACCTCACCGCAGTTCTGCCATTTATCATTCCCCTAACCCTAACACTCACCTTCTATAGGCAAGTACTGAGGTGTAATGTGCAGTGGGTTGCATGTTGACCTTGGCATACTGACAAGCACACGATGAGCGTGTGGCCTCTTGGCTGCATCACTCCTCTTGTTCTGCCTCTATAATGGAATTACGAGCGCCAAGCAAAAAAAAGAGCACAGTCAGCAATTCCTGGGCCAAGCAGCTTTATTCAGCCATTTAGGCGCGTCCTGGGGGTTTGGTTCGCGGGCTGCTGAGCAATCCCTGCCAGTGCGTGCACACACAGACACTCGTCGCTTGGAAACAATCAGCCATGGAATTTCCTGCCGGTCTCTGGGGAATGAAAATGCTGGGAGCACATCTGATAACTTGGCCTTACTCTGGAAACTTCCGTTTTGGAAAAACACTTTGTTTATCCCCTGTGTTTGCTGTAATAACTTAACTGACATCCTGTGTGATATCTAAATGCATTCAACATCAAAATGGGCATTTTGAGAGAATGAATATAATAAAGACTCTCTCTCTATGGTTACATGACGATGCTGTCTCTTTGTGTGCTCAGGGCTTTCTTGGTGACGTTGGAGAGAGGGGACCACCTGGCCCTGATGGGAACCCAGTAAGTGAAAAGATGTGGATTCCTGCACGATTTACTCATGATTGGTGGAATCCATTTCCTCCCATTTGTCCCTGAAGTCCACAATGTTACACCTGACACAGATTTAATCTGATTTCACATAACGATCACACTGCAGTGTCATTTAGAAGATTACATACAAAATGCTGTAGTGCAACAAACAGGTGCACTTCATACAAATTTTAATGTAGCACTTAAATTTATTTAGTCTACATCAAGTAACCTAGAGGGATAATTCTGAAAAAGTTTTTAACACAGTCAAAACTTAAAGCAGGAACATTTTATACTTACTCAGGACTAACCACGAGTCAGATCTTGGCATTCTCCCTCACTCATCATTATCCATACTGGTATGAGGGCACCATCAGCAGTTTCATTCGCCACTCATCTTTCTTTAGCTTGACACTCACCACTTGTGATTGACTGGGTCAGTGTTAGATTGTGATTGGCTGACCTCTGAGAGCATCCCCCTGGCTTCATTTCCTCTCTCTCCAGAGAGAAGAGGGGATGTTCCATTTGGCTAAATCCACCTCCTTTCATTCATAGAGAAAGAAAGGAAGCGACAGGAAGGCCACACTGGGCTGTGTGTCATCCATCTCTGTATTGGATGCGTGGCTTGGAGAGGATGTAGGCATAGCATGTGGCTGTGGGGTAGATCATTTAGGCAACAATCTGCTCTGTGTGTTAAGTGCCAAGTCGCTTACTCAGTGCTAAACTGAGATAGAGTAGAGGAAAACATTTTCTCAGGATAAGGAAAATACTAATCAACAAAACAAATATAGAAACATGCTGCATTCAATCGCATCTCGTACTGACAGCTCTATGCTCCTGAGTGTGCACATGTATCTCTTCTTTCTCTTCTTCTTTCCCATTCCTCCTAGGGTGATCTGGGAGCTCCTGGCCCATGTGGAGTCCCTGGTCTTATTGTGAGTGTTGTGCAGTCCTTGTAACTGATTTCATAAAGTTATATTTGTGGTTTATGCACTTTGATTCGTTGTCTGTTGCTCTCTGCTTTTTCATTTTTCTTCCTTCTAAAATTAGTTCGAAACAACTTTTTTGTGGAGTATTATTTATTTCCTTTCTTTATGAGCATCTGCTATGAATTTAAAACAACACTTGTTTTGCTATTGACCAAAATTCCTCTAAAGGACATTGTTTTAAGGCTGTTGGTGTGATTGTTTGCAGGGAGACATGGGCCCTGTTGGCATTATGGGATTACCTGGACCACCAGGACTCAAGGTAAATGTTCCAGTTTCACTGTTTTGCCTCTGTCTGTTTTTGAGGATTTTTAACTGTAAGTTGTATGCATTTTGGTATTTTAGTGATTGGCCTTCAAAACTTCCTCCAGTAGAGGCTAAGCTTGCATTGGTCAGACATGGTTAGTCTTGGGATTAATTATGCTACAGAATAGATGTTCCTCAAGCGGCAATCTCTGGGCTGAAAATGATGCCAAGTGGAAGTGCCAAAAATCTCCATTTCTACTAACAGCCAAAAGGGAGTCATGTAAAGATGTATGTAAATGATGGACTGAGCCACCATAACGCCAGTTGGTTTTGGATTGTATTTTGAATCCTCAGTGTTAGTGTTTTGCTCATTACTGTTTTATCTTTGTGGAGGCAGAAACAACCCTGTTTAGTCAAGGGTATCAGGTTGTTTTAAGTTAGCTGACACTAGCAATCTAGGTTAGCAAGTTGCATGCATAAGCTCTACCAGTTCAAGACACAGACGCCCATTAATACAGACTAATAAAATAGCAGACTTAGTGTTGGGGGAAGCCTCGAGTGACCATTAAAGGAACTGGTGGTCAATCCCGATACACTACCATATTAGAAAGGCAAACTAAACTGCATTGGAAAGCATACAGCCTCAAACCAAAACAGTTTTCCCTGTGTAGCTGTGTATGTGTCTGTTTGTTGCACTTGTGCCATTTATGAATACAGCTTGCTAACTACATTTGCTTGCTTTTACTTACTTAGCATTTTGCACTCTTAGCAAATGCAGTAACGTTTAGCACCAAAAAATCACTTGGTGACTGTTGTTGAGGCTTCAGAGCACAGAGATCATGACTTATCTTTCAGGTCTGGCTGTGTCCATCTTTAATACACCCTTGTGAACAGGGAAACATGACAGCGCTTTTTTTCTTTGCTTCTAAGGGAGTACCTGGAAATACAGGGGAACAAGGACTGAAAGGTGATAAGGTGATCTGCATATGTCTTTCTCAAACTACTACCTTTCTCTACAAAAGAATGGTTAATGTGACAAATCACAAAATTGTATCTCTCTCCTGAGAAAGCTAACATTTAAGGCAAAGCTATAAAGCATGTGCTAATCATAGCTCCTTGTTGATAGAATTTTTCTCTTATTAGCATTCACACTATTTTTTATGTTTATTTCTGTTTCCAGGGGGATGTTGGCCTGCCAGGAGAGCCGGGAGAATGTGGATTCCAAGGGGACAAGGTAGGTGTATTTTTGTATGTGCTCAGGTGATGGCGCAGATCATCCATTAATAAGATTATGGATTTAATGGCTGGCTTCTCGTAAATGCATCTGTTTGGGTCCGTGTCAAATTCCCCTCAGCAAGATGATTCACTCCAGATTGCTACCAATTAGACCAGCACAGAGTGTGTCATCTTTGCAACCATCTGTGTGTGCATGGATTAATGGGACTTGCTGTAAAGTCTCTTGTACTGCTCTCTTAAAGGGAAGTACAAACCATTTACTATAGCCGTGTACCAGGTTTAGGCACTAAAGGGTAAACAGTCTTTCACAAATGCCTCCAATGTATCAAATAGGCTTTGCACAATACTTTTTGTTTTGATGCATTTGATGCCCCTTTTTGTCTTGTTAACTGGCATTTATGTTACAGGGCAGCCGTGGCTCACGTGGGTTGCCCGGTCCTTGTGGAAAACCTGGACCACAGGTATTTTACCTTCCACATGCTTACTGATTTACAACTATCCATTGTGGATAGTTTCATGCAGGAAAACTCCATTCAGTATAGTTGAAACCTCATTTAGTTAACATCTAACTGGATTGCATTAATGCCGCCCCCAGAGCCAGTGCAGTGAATTGGAATTTATTTGATTAAAATTATTTAATTAGTGATGTTGCAGTGATCTCTAGACTGAACATTATAACCTTATTTAGAAATAACAGATATTTCTTTTCTCAAGCAAGAAAACATTTGCTTTGCCTGCTTTGCAATTAAATTATGATGTGAAGGCAGTTTCTCCTTTTTAAACTCCGGATGAGAATTTTGTTCTGAAAGCATAGTGGTGCACTCAAAGGATCCAGTGAGTCTTAAGATGCTCTCAAGAAAAAAAGGCTGGTCTTCTTGAAGAAAGATGAGCAGAAATCTTCAAACGTATACAAAAGCAAACTTCATGCCCTTATGTGTGTGTGAGAATTTTGGTCTAATCAGGCACATATAGCTCAACTCTTCAAAGAGTAGGGCACAGGCAAATTCCCAGTGTGAGCGCTCTCCGAGCTTTGGCACTTATGCAATCTAAAAGTTTCCTTAATGTTTTCAGTGCTCTCTGATCTGATTTGAGGTTCTTGCATAGAAAACTAAGCCTCATGCTTGCTTGATCTGCTATGTGATTTATGCATCTTTCAGCAATGATAACAGCCATTCCAAGGAGCTAAACTCATTCTTCATATCAGGATCTTATCTGATTTTCCCTTGTTTGAGGGATTTGTTGTCTGGTGCAATGAAAATTAAATTTCCTTTATTCTGCATTGACGTAACCTTGAATTGCATAACATGTTTACAGGTGCTAAAGGGCAGGTTTATTATAACTGAAAAAAATGAAGATGTATTGGATTGTTTCATTAAAATGCCACATTATGTTGGTTCCACAATCTAGTAAATGTGCAAATTTTAGCTTTGTTGTTGTTGTTTTTACATTTTTAATTCTAATCTTGGTGATAATTGTGTGACATTTTTAAGGGCAAACCTGGTGAGAAGGGCCCTGTTGGTTTACCTGGTCCTCCTGGCCTAGAGGTAGGAATTATAGATACATACAGATTATAGTCACATACAAACATTTTATCTAAATACAGGAATTTGAAATGGTCCTGAGCCAAACCTCATTTCTTTATATTTGCTAGGAAAAGGGGTGCAGTGATTTACCGAAACCTGCAAACATAGAAATACACTCAAAAATGGTGTTGAAAGTCAATGTTTTGTATGACCACCTACTCTTTAACACAGCCTGAACTCTCTTGGGCAAGCTTTCTTCTAAATCCTTTAAGTAGCCTTCGGGGATAGTTCTTCAGGCTTCTTGAAGGACATTCAAAGCTCTTCTTTGAATGTTGGCTGCCTTTTGTTCCATTCTCAAGTTTTCATCTAGTAGCTCTTTGGGAATCAACTTTTTGGCTTTTTCTTGTAGATTCAACTACAGAAACGGGTGTGAATTATATATTTTTGCAACAGACTCCTGGCAACAAAGTGCCTGAAGATAAAATTTAGAATTGATTCTTGCTAAGTTGCTAAACACAACAATGGTTCATCTCTTGAGTTAGGTGTTTCATAGGTCAGTGTTAAGTCACTTAACAAATAAAAACATTCCTCTGAAAATGGTCAGGTATAAGAATTGGAATGAAAATGAGCAAAAAAGCAGCCAATGTCCACAGAAAACTCTAAAAAGTCTTCAGAAAGCCTGGCTAACTATTGATAAATGGACTGGTTCTTGTGGAGTGTTTTTCCACACAAGCACTCAAAGTGCTTTACACAATATGCTTCATTCACACACATTGATATAAGCTTTTTCTTTCTATGTATAAGTGCTTTCAATCTAACATTCACACTTGGAGAGAAACTTGGGGTTCAGGATCTTGCCCGAGGATATTTTAGCCTGCAGACAAGAGCAACCAGGGGTCAAATCACTAACCTTCCAATTAGTAGATGACCTGCTCTACCTCCCGAGTTTTAGCTTTCTCATGACAACTCAGGAATTGCACAATGCTTCCTGGAAACAAAATCTGAAGAAATGAGGAGTTGCTCAAGACTTTTGCTCAGTGCTGTTTATCATCATCAGTTTAGAGTAGCATAAACCATTCTACCATATGGTGATATAGCTGGGGTTCATTTCTTGTTATTTCTGCAGGGCTTTCCAGGTGACATTGGCCCACCAGGACAAAATGGCCCTGAAGGTCCCAAGGTTAGTAGAACCACATCAGCTCAATTAGAACCACAGAAATTAAGTGAACCCTGAACCTCAATGTCTCATTAATAGGGAAAACAAGGAGCAAGAGGTTTGCCAGGTCCAAGTGGAACTTCAGGACTTCAGGTGTGGTTAAATTTAAAAGTTCATTTAAGCTGAAATAAATGTTTCTTTATGTAATGTTGACTTTTTTTTATTTGTTTTTTTTGGTCAGGGTGATGAGGGGCCAGTTGGGCCAGCTGGACCCGCTGGACCCGAGGTGAGTACAACCTAAGACCAGACACAACAATAACAAAGTTGTCATTTAAAACCTCAGCACTTACTACGCTCATGTGTCTCTGCCTAAATTAGCATTGGAGGAGTAACTTTGACCAATTATGGATAGTAAGTCCTTTGGCTGACTGATCTCCTATTGTTTTCCAGATGTTTTTAAAGACTTCCTATTGGACACTCTGTACTCATATTACCAGATTGGTCAGCAAATTGCTGCCTCCTGTCTATCATAAAAAGAACGTGAAAGCAAACAGAGTGTTGTAAACAAAAGAAATTCTTTTAAAAGTATCTAATGATTGAGTTATTTTTTAAGATGAATGCACAAGAAAGATAATAATAAAGATAATTAGATAATTTATTAAATCTATTTAAGAGTGGAGTCAAACAAGTTCCCGTTATTGTTTGTTTATCAATTGACTTCAACAGATGTAGATTTTTTATATCTGAATTGTGACCATTGTTGATAAAGATGCTATTCAAGCCAAATGTGACTTTATAAAAGACGAATAGGATGACTTTGAACTGCTCCACAGTAAAAAAAAGTCCACAGTGACCGTCTCTGTCCAAAAATGTGTTTGTTTGGAGTCATCCCAGGCTAAACAATAGAGAAGCCTTTTCCAATAAAACAATCTATTTTTGCAGTGGTAGACTTCAGTCTGCCATCTCCCAAAAGTAAAACCCACAAGTGAATATGAAAATACAAACACAAATGACCCAAAGAGTTTTGTGAGTAATAATAAGCCTTTGATGCTAGAAATACCTCTTTATTTTTTGAATCATTAGCTGTCTTAAAGGGGTGCCTTTGTTTTGGCATCAAATGTTGGTTTGTTTTGTGTCGCAGCCTCTTGAGGGAAGCAACACCTTTTTACTGGAGATACAGAGTTTATTGTTTGTTGTGTGGAGCTTCAGTACACTTCTCTCTGTCATTTCTGCTTTCTGTTCAGGGCAGGCCGGGGAGGCAGGGATTCCCTGGACTGACGGGCACAGATGGACTCAAGGTCAGACTTAATTGTCATACGTTCACAGACGAACCGTTGTCACCGTAACTGAACACTCTCTCCCTGGTTTTCTTTTATGATAATGTATCATCTGAATATGTATAAATTAGATGTTAATTCCCTGCTACCACAGGGGAACTGGCCTCTAAGCACATTTCAACTGAATTGCACTAAAAACGAAAGGCATGAATAAGTTTGTGATATGCTAATTGGCTGCTTTGCTGTAGGGTGAGACCGGGATAACTGGCGAGGTCGGAAAGCTTGGCGAGAGGGTAAAGGCTTTTCTCCCTCTTTTTTGCTCGTTTCTGTTTGATGCTCACAGTGTGTGTCTGTTTTGTCAGTGCCCCAGAGCTGTGCAGCCTATTATGAGAATTACAAGTTCATAAGACTAAGAGAAATAAGACACAGTTAAGACAGCATTTTTTCTCTCCCTCAGGGACTGCCTGGTTTTATTGGGCCTGTCGGAGAGATGGGTATCGCGGGAGAAAAGGTTAGCACGGTCTAAATGTGTCATTCTTTGCTACTGTCACAATTTGTAGTCTCGTTTTGACCTTTTGAAATCTTTTCTGTAGTGCTGTATGGAGTGGGCCAGCAAATGCACAAAAATATATTGAACACAGTTTTTCAAATAAGTTCTCATGCAAGTAAAATTGCTGTCTTGTGGTTGTACGCGTGCACCAGCCGATCACCAGTTATAGTTTGAGTAAGATTTGTAATATTTTTCATGTTTCTGTATAAATATGACCTAATTCATCATCAGATATTAACACAAGTCCCAAAAGTAGATGAATTCAACTGAGATAAACATATACAATTTAATTATTATCAATTTATTTTTTGATGGAAATGATCCAATCATACATTGACCTTTGACTAGCCACATCTAATCAGTTCTCACTGAGTCCAACTGAACTTGGAATAAATAGTAATGAAATTCTAGATCACAGTAAGCTTGACCAAAATTTAATCTGCTCAACTGAATGATAGTTTTAAAGATGTTCCAGAAATATTGCACTCATAAGAACTGGATGTACAACCTAAAAAAGTGATCCCACCTGCAATGACCGTTGCCCACATGGAGACATTAAAATTTGCATATTTGCTAACTTTCTCCATATAATGTAATTGTACATTTCTGATAAAACAAAAGCAACAATTTAAGAGCATTACTTTATTATGTTGTTACTGGGTGTAATTAAATGTTTTGACATATATTTGACTGTTGGATCGGTTGCAATCCTACTTCCGTTTCCCTAATCGTGGCTTTTGGCACTTCAGGGTGATCGAGGGAACACAGGCGTCCCCGGGCCACCAGGTGAACAGGGGCCGATGGTAAGGAGTAAGTCTGGACCCCATCTCTCATACCAGGGGGCATTCTGTTGTAAAGGGTTGGGGTGTGATAACAGATTTGATTTATCATGTCACATCTGAGGACTTATTTATGCTTTCTTTGAAAGATTGTATAGATATCATTCAAGTAACGTTGTTTCATCAGGGTCACCCTGGAATACCTGGTGAGATGGGGCCACCTGGACTGCAAGGGATTCCAGTAAGTTTACCATTATTACTATCTGTATCATAGCTGTAGAGAAGGTAAACTGTCTTGGTGTGTGTGCATGTGTGTGGTGTGGCTATACTAACCTATTGTGCCATCTACACTAACAGACCTTATCTAATCCATAAAAATGGTGCCTGTATGCAGTCTCAGATTGCACTTCTCACCGCACCCAACTACACTGGTGCTATGTTGCATTTCTCTTGCTTCTGTAGAGATACTTTCAATTTAGTTTTATTTATAAACTGAGATTTCCTAGAAGATGAAAAAACAAACCTTACAATATTAGAGAGAGAGAACTCCAACGATCAGACGATCTTATACGAATAAGCGCCTGGCAACAGTGGGAAGGAAAAACTCCCGTACAACAGGAAGACATCTCTGGTAGAACCAGGCTTTGGGAGGTACAGTACTGTACTGCAACCGTTTGGGGGGTAAGGAGAAAGTGAAGATCAAAATAGACAGTTTAGGCCTAAACACAAATTACAGGAGAGAGCAGACAAAAGCTAGTTTCATGCAGCAGTGGCATGCAAATGCATCAAGAGTAAAAAGAGGGGAGTGGAGAAAGAAATGCTCAGTGCATTATGGAAAGTCCCCCAACAGCCTGATCTGATAGCATCTTCACAAGATGGTTTAGAGTGACCTGATCTAGCACTAATTCTAAGCTTTATTGAAAATAAAGTTCTTAAGCAGAATTTTAAATGTAGATTCCAAACTCGGAGCTGGTTCCACAGGAAAGAGGCCCAATAGCTGAAGACTCTGCCTCCTGTAGTGGCTACTTTCGGCTGCTGCCGTGTCACAAAGGGTTGCCACAGAAGGTATTTCCACATGTTTGATTTGGCAGTTTTACACCGGATGCCCTTCCCGACACAACCCCAAAGGGCAGCTAAAGTTTCTGCCTCTTATTCTTTTTTTTGCGTTATTTTTTTTATAGATTGATTTTCAAAAAGACAAAATGCTGATGGACACTTTGGGACAAACTACAAAACAAGACGACACAGAGTTGATACAGAGATTAGAAGAGATGTGTGTGGTTAAGTGTGAGAATGTGCTTTTCGGTTTAGCTTGACATCAATGTGATAGAAAGGGAGCAGAAAAAAAAGTCACACAGTAATAGTTCAATATGATTATATGGTGTTGTGTTTTTTTAGCAGCCTTTGACGGTTGACAACATATCAAAAAAAGTGAGGTAGTTGCATCTAAGTCTCCATTTTCAAACTCTAAGAATATTTTTTCATACACATGCAGGGGCCTCCAGGTTCCCGGGGATCTGTTGGTATCAGAGGACCCAAAGGCAGGAGGGTAAGCAAATGGAAGCTATAGTAAACAATGATATCTCCATTATGTGACTCGTAATTACTGTCTGTTAATAAATAATACACCATAATTATGTTTGCACCCAGCAAATGAAATGAGCATCATGATCCATGTCCAGTAACCTGCTAAAAGGCACCATGGCTGCTAAACACTAGTGTCACTATATCTGTTGAAATGCTAGCTTACACTTCTACAGTCTTACTCAGCCTTTGCCATTACTGTGACTGCTTAAAGCCCTGATTTATTGTAATTGTAATTTTACATCCCCAGTTGCAGTAACAATAGTTGTTTTTTCTTTTTTCCCACAATAATGAGAAGATGAACTGTGTAACATTACATCAGCTCTAATTGTCTCTAAAAGATCCAGACATAATGACATCTCTTAAAGTACTTTTCTATAATGCAAAACCACAGATCATTTTAGAAGATAACCTCAGTGAGCCTCCATCTGTATATCTTTCTATATAGAAGATGTAGCAGCTTATCTCAGAATCTTGCTGCATCTGCAGGTTTAAATCTGTCACTGGTGCTTCATTGTTTTCCAGCTTTGCATAATATAATTAAGGAGTTATAGACTTTAATGGAAGAGTGCAAAATTTTGGATAAAATAATTGATCTAATATGTCATTTTAGCCCCATTTTTACCCCTCAGCTGTTAAAGGCTAATGGGGTATAGTTGTCACTCAGGTGGGCATGGTGGGCGCATGATGTGGACACCCAAGTTTGTGAATGCAGTAACTTGAGAATAAGGCAATGTAAGATTTTGAATTGGATACCAAAAGCGTAGCTACTAAAAATCTCAGTTGAGTTTGAATCTCAGTAACCTCAACCTCAAGATCAAGGGTCAGAGGTCAAGCTTGCTGAAAAACCTTTGACTATGATAACTCGCGAATGAAGCGGAGTAGGAGTTTTAAATGGATACCATAGGTGTATCATAGTTTGAATCTGTGACCTTGACCTCTTGGTTGAGGTCAAGGGGTCAAATTTTCTGAAAATCCTGTATATGCGAATAACTTGGCTAACTTTGAAATAACTTTGAAACCGATACCTCAGGTGCATACATAGGAGGCTGAGGGCTACCACGGGTCGCTGCCAGTATTTTTGTTTTGTTTTTTCCAGGTATCTCATGTACTCACCCACTTGGTGGAAAGACTTAATTTGTCCCTAATGATTCATCTCACATGCAAAATATATCCATATGTGACTGCTATACATTTGTGTCTGTTATAGAAATAAGTTTTATAAGTACCTACACACATACAAACATTAAAGTTTTCACAAGCCTGCAGCATCCTGTGAAAACCTGCATATATATCATATCATATATCATGATTCAGTAGCTTGTAGAAAAGCTTTTAGCATCAGTAAACTGAAGTAGTCTTTTTCTATATTATTTTATCAGACTGTCAGTTTTTGAGGGACTTTTGTTACGGAAGCGTTTATGGTCTGAAAAGTTTCCTCGTCCTGTGACTATAAAATAAGTCCAAGCCATCATCCTTCTACCACCATTCTCGATAATTCGTATGAGATGTTGACACGTTGTATTTGACTTTCACCAGAAGTGACGCTGGCATTATGACCAAACATCTCCCACAAGGTCTTGTCTGACCAAAGTATATTGTTCCAAAGGTCTTGTGGATTGTTCAGATGCAACTTTGTAGACCTAAGCTGTGCTGCCATGTTCTTTTTACAGAGAAAAGGCTTTCTCTTGGCAGCTCTTCCAAATAAGCCAAAATTCTGTCTTTATGTATTGGTACTGTCGTGAACTTTAACTTTTGTTGTGCTGACTGAGGCCTGTTCAGTTTGACATGTAGGTTTTTTGTTTTTTTTTTTGCAATTTCTATAAGAATTAGACAGTCTGAATCGGATTTGAGTTTGCTGAAATATCCACTCCTGGGAATATTGTGGCATTATGTCAACATGTGGTCACTTGCTGATCAGTTAGTGAAGGGTGATTTGCAGCACCTGGCGGATACTTTCCTTCTTAATTCCTATGGAAGCAGTAAAGGTGTACTTAGTGTTTCATAGGGCTCTGAAAGAGTGCAGTGAAAACTTCCTTTTTTACATGACTGTAATAAATAGGACTTTTATACGTTTTTGTTTGCCCTTGTTATGTTGTACTTCTACAGGGTCACAGAGCTCAATGTTTTTATCCTGCCTAATTACTATAAATATAACTAAATTTTCAGTCATCACATTAGGCATTTTAGGTATTTGCAGGTTATTCATTAAAATAATTTTCTTTCTAGTGATTTGACTGCACCATTTATTTTTTTAAATTTGTTTTAAGAAATAAAGAAAGACTGAGTGCGAGTGAACTTCAAACTAATGTTCCTGTCCCAGTTAAAAGGATGTGAAAACTGATTATCACTTGAAGGATGGATGGATGCTAAATGTTTGCACTTTAGATGTTCAGTCTGAATAAATAACATAAGCAAGCTTGTCTTTTGTGCTAAATAAGTGAAAAAAATGATTGTAGGTGAAGTTAGATTAGAAATCTAATGAAATTGTATGAATCTGTTTAAAGATTTGTTGGAAACAAGTCAGAGTATCTTGAATTATGATCACTTACTCTCCTATTATGCATCAAGAAAGTGAGACGTGATTTAAAAAATTATTTAAACAGGAAACAGTTAAAATGATCCTACTGACGTGTAAATATTTCTCATTATCAGACAAAACATTATATTTAAGGAAACAGACTTTTTGAGTGAATCTATTAATCTCAATTTTAGTTTCTTATTAAAGTAAATGTATATTTTACAACCTGTTTAACACAAGTTTTGAACACAAGCTGAACACAGTTACTACCTCAAAAGGTTTCTCACTCCTAACACTGCTGAGTTTCTGAACAACAGAAAGCATAATTTTATTCTGACAGCTTAATGGAAATAGCATTAAATTAGCGCTCTGTATATATTCTACTCTGTCTGTTTGCATTATTTAGGATACTTAGAAAAGGAAAAAGAACTAGAATCACACAGAATCAGTTCTTAAGTATTGACTAAACAGTTTTGTTCATTTTAAAAGCAAGTATGAATCAGCTAAAGGATTTTTAGCCTTTCCCAAGGCTTCTTCAAAATTACTTTAGTGTGAAGGCAGCACTGCTGTGCGTAGTCTTGAAAAAATGAGGACAAAGTGTTCACAGTCTGGGCACTGTGTGGAGCTAATATCCAGATGCAAACTATTTGCTAAATAGCCACAATCTTTGATGATGTCTCTCCAGTGTGGGCTAAACCATAGTATGCAATCAAACCAGAAGCACTGCCTCCCAGGCTCTGCTAAATGGGAATGACAAAAATGGAGATTAATTGCCAAAAATCATTAACTTTATTTGTTAAACAACATGCCCTTTAGGTCTGTTAAAGGCCAGTGTTTCTCAAACTATTCCTCAGCTTTTATTTCTTTGCATAGGGTCCAAGAGGTCCAGATGGCCCAGTGGGGGAGAAAGGATCTACAGGAATAAAGGTGAGCACATGGTCAAAAAAATCAAAGGTGATGCTAGTTACAAGATACTCAGAGTGTGATGTTCAGTTAACGCGTAGGGATTCATTGCTGGTCATATTATTCTGCAGCTGCCTTTGAGGAATGTTTGTCATTAGGTTTCCTGATTATGCACATCACACATGCTCCATGAAAAACAAATGGCTCAAATTTCTGCAGAGAAAACGACAAATCATGAGAATCTTTACAAGAGACTTTGTTCTGAAGACTGTGGTTATTAACTGTTTTTAGCATCTGAAGAATCTTTAGAGGGCACTCTTGTTAAAAACAAATTTAACAACTGAGTCTTAAATCAAAGAGCATTAAAATATTGATGGTGCTGGTAGTGCTTGTCAGTGAGAAACACTTAAACTCTGGGGGATTTGAAAAAGCTCAGTTAACCGATGGGGTTTTTTTTTCTTTGCAGGGCCCTGATGGTCCACGAGGAAAATTGGGCCTCCCTGGAGACATGGTGACGAAATGTCTTCTAACAGTAATTTTTTGCATTAGCACGAATCCTGGTTGCATTTGATCATTTAGCCTTCCAGCTTTCTCAGAAATAGCATTTCAGATAAACGGGCACTGTTGATACTGTAGAAGTTCAGTATTTAATGTTGCATGTATATGATGATCATCATGTTTGGTTCCACTGTGATGGAAGCATGGTGCTACTCCAGCTGTAATGTCCTCAGCTGGTTCACAGTGTTCTGCAGATTCTTAAATTAACAAATAATTCATTTTATTACACTTTTGTAATGTATTAACCATTATTAGTTGAGCAGTGAGCGTCGCAAAAGTTACATAAATAACCTTCCTGTCATTTTCGGGTCAAATCGCCTCAATTTACAACTTAAAACACTCATAAATATTGTGTTTTACATCTGATTGCCTCAAGGCCTTATGGCATCCTCCACACTATGCACTTGAAAATATAAAAGTGATGACCCTGGCCCCTGACCCCCTGAATGGCCCACTGAACGACTCATTGAACTGAATTTGGTGGTGAAAAATGTCTGTTATGCTAATTTAAGAGCTGCTAAAACTGACTAGTCAATTTTGACCAGAAACACTAAAGTAAGAGGGTGGGTGTGCACAAAACTGGAGGGATAAAAGTAAAAATACAGTAATGTAAAAATGGTCAATTAAAGGTAAACACATTTCTTCAAATATAAATCTAAAGTAACTGACAGCAAAGATCGTTTACACTTGCAGCAATTTATTTTAGTACATGCAGCAACAGGTAGGCCCAGCAGTTCAGCGGTGCAAAATCACAATTTGATCTTATCGTGTTAAAAGCATTGGCACTGTGATGGGAGAAATGCATTTTTTTCTTATTGAGGCACCCCCACTCTGGTGGTAGAGACTAAGATAAGAGGAAAAGGAATTGAGGATGTGCGGTTTGGAAAATGAGAAAGGGGCCAAGTTTGGTGTGAATATATACAACAGTTGGTGAGATATGATCTCAGGTTCTGTTTAATATCAGTTGGCTGTAACAGTCTTAAAGCTCCATTAGATCATTTTTGTGAGTCTGGGTTTGAACACAATCAGGTCTGAATTAGGTTAATTTTTTTTAAACTTATTGATAAATTTCAGTATGACTGTCACTTCAATTATTTGACATGAACGCTTGGCAGTTCTTACTCTTGGCACCTCCTGGTTATTTGGCAAATACATCAGCAGTTATTAGGCATAAGAAAATAATGAAAGCAAAATGCACTCACACAAATTTGGGTCCAGATTCCATTTACCAAACTTGACTTTGATGGATAGAAACTTTACCAAGATAATTTCCTGTTTGTCAGGAAATGGTTGTGGTTCTAGTGGCTATCATAGATTTCAATGCAAAACGTAGCTGTAACGTTAAACCTAATCGAGGATAGAGAGAAAGTGAACCAAGCCCTATCCTAATTTTAACACATGGAAACAACACAATTATATCTAACTGGCTGCTCAGATTTCAAAACCTATTTTTCTGTGTGTGTCATTGTCTGCAGGGAAGACTTGGTGAGCCAGGTGAATCTGGGCCTAAAGGATTTCAAGTAAGTTATTGGGGCTAACAAAGCTTTCTTTTAGGTCAGTGTTGAATTTGTTGTAAGCAATAGTAGTGGATAAGACATAGGTGTGCGTTGTTTATGTTTATCTCGTGGGGGTTATAGCATTTCAAAATATTTATGAGTACCTGGAGTGTGGGTGTAACAAATGGCTATTATTTTCAGGGTATCCAAGGCCACTCTGGACCTCCAGGAGCCAAAGGACTTGCAGGAGAGCCAGTGAGTTTTAGTACTTTTTTGAAGCTTTAACAATAGCTGCTTTTGTTGGTCACATTTTTTCTCTGGTGTTCACTCCATGTGGTTTAGTTATGCAAAATCTAGCTGTTGCAGAATTTCTTAGAAGATACGTCATAAATCAGTATCTCATTGTCTACTATAACTCAGAGCTCTGTAGCAGCTACTATGCACCCTACGTGCCCCTGCATATTTAGACTGATTTTCTTCATTTTTGACCCTACTTAGGAACTTCTATCCTGTTTGAAAAAGCCTTAGACAGCCTAATCCTCTTTCTCTCATGCTTCCCAAATCTCACAAACACAAGCAGAAAAGTAGTGAGTTGGAGACAAGTTGATTTACACCATCTCCTTCCTCCTTCCCTGGCAGCCTTATTGTAGCCTTACTGTGCCTCTATGACAGCAGCCCAGTTTTTACATCTTTTAGGAGTTTTGGCTCTGTGTTGTGATGGCTGCAGATTAATTTATATTCACAAATCCAAACTTTCTGCCTATTACTTGTTTCTTTTCACCTGTTCTTTTTACTCTTTTAATGTCACTTTCAGAGGTTTGTCCAAGATTAGAAAATGCTCTTAACCTTTGTATTGAGGCTCCTGTTTTATTGCCGCAGGGACCAGCAGGGCCACCAGGAACGACTGGGCCACTTGGGGAGATTGGGCCGAGTGTAAGTTGATCACACAGTCTGTGTAAAGCCTCCAACTGACTTTTACATTTGGATAGAATAATAAAGCTGTGACTGTTCCTAACAGGGGCTACCAGGGAAGACCGGAGAGAGAGGACCGCCTGGTGATCTTGGAGAGAAGGTGACGAGGATGATATGTTGTCAGAATTGCACTTTTTTTTTTATTGAATTATAATATCAAAACTGCCTTTGATGATTTAATCATGTCATTTGTGTCTCCAGAAAGGTCACATTGTTTTAGGTCTACTCTGGGATCATTGAGAAATTTTGATTTATTTGCTTTATGCTTTACAGAAATATATAGTACTGAATACATTCAGACTCATTTTCCCCAAATTATCGGTAGCATAAAATGTAAAGAAAATCAGAATACAGTACAGCAATGGTACAAGACTATTTATTTTTATTATTTTAAAACCTGTATGTATCGATCAGCAGTAATGGCACCTATGTGTCCATATTACTTGCGCTAAAGCACCCCAATACAATCAGGGATGTCAGACGATTCGGCTCCTCTTTAAACCAGAGGATGCGGTTTCCAGGATTTCCAAAAAGAATTTCAAATCAGGCCACAGGATTTTCCTGTCTTTTTTCCATGCATAGTGAGCTCAAGCCCAGGAGGCAGCAGCAGTGTTTCTGGATCTCGTTTATATGGTTATTCTTTTGCCTAATAGTTTTAATTTGCATTTGTACATGTAGAGATGAACAGGGCTCAATGGCAGCGGGTTTCAAAAGTGTTCCTGAGCCCATGCAGGGCTCTGCGCTACAAAATCATGCCTGCTTTTATTGCTGTGCCGCCTGAGAGTCTGAGGCCTTTCATTTCGGAGGCCTTTCAATTCTGGCTTGTCCCTTGCATGCATAGATTTCCATTCATTCTTTGAATATTTTAATGATACTGTATATAATAGATCAATTCAGTTTTAGTTATACGGTGCCAATTCACAACAACAGTTGCTTTATATTGTAAAGTTCCAACAATATCGGAGAGAAAATCTCCACAATCAGATGGTTTAGTGAAATCAACAAACACACTAAATCAAGTTTAGTGTGTTTGTTCTATACACGCCAATTTCTTAAACACGCAAAACAGATCTCAAACTTGTAGTAAAGATAAAACTTGTATAACAAAAAATAGTTCTCCAGTTTCCACAGGGTCTCATTTTTCTTGAAAATAGTTTTGTACACAGCCAGAAAACACTGTAGATACTTTAGAAAGGAAATGTCATGTGACATTATATGTCATATAGTCGAGGTGCAATGCTGAAGTTAAGAGGGCATCATCATAGTTGAGGGCATACCCAACTATGATGGGTAAGGCTGTGTCTGTCTGTTTAGACTTCTGCTACAGGTCATTCTGTGATGCTATGGATATATATAGCCGAGATTATTTGACCCTGCAGTGCTTCTATGACAAATGTTTTTCCACACAACATATGAGTTCAGAAGGTCTACAACAATTTTTATTTGAGAGGTATCTGTCAGACTAAACTCCACATGAAATCCGAGACTCAAGGTTTTTCATTACAATATTGCACTGTAATGGGATAAGTGTTACTCCCTTGACCCGTCAGTGGGTTTAATATTGATGCACAGGAATAACCTACTGGATTTGGACTTATCTACTGAGATAGGTATCGACCTGTGAATACAGTGTAATTGCTCAAAGTTCAAGTTTTAAAAAAAAGTAACATTAATTCCAAAGCTGTATGAACTGCTTTTTGTATATATGTGACTGTTGTGTTCCTGTATGCTTTTTATCCACTCAGGTTGCTGTCTTTGTCTTTGCTGCCATTGTTAATAATTTCATTACTTTTCAGCACAAAAAGTAGTGAGTAGTAGTTTTGTGCGGGCAGATTAAGTTAAGCTATTAGTTAGTTAAGCTTTTGTAAAAAGTCAGTTTTTACTCCCATGATTTACATCGTAGTACCCTTCATAACAGGTGGCACTGATTAAATTTGTCCTGTTGATATCAAAGATTGCATGTTAGACATTTAACACATGGATGGTAGCTTAACGGTCACGCTTCACTGTTTGACAGGGTGACATTGGTCTACCTGGTAGCATCGGCGAACAAGGCTTGATTGGCGAGAGAGTGAGTTTCCCAAGTTTTCTTTCTGTGATGTCTTAATGATTATGATGTACTTGATTTATTTAGTCTGCGCCAAAATCAAGTGCTAAATGTTTGAGTGTGCTATTACATCTGTTTTTGCTTCCATTTCATTACCGTCTTTGTCATCAGGAAGAAATACAACTATAATGTTTTTGTGATTTGTCTGTCAGGGTGAGCCAGGCATAGATGCGGAGGCTGGGCCAAGTGGACCTGATGGTGCCAAGGCAAGTTTTAAAATACTTTAAAAATATAAAAAAAGAGATGTGTATTAACTGTTTTTAATTGTACAGTCATGAGTCCCGGAGTGATTATAAAAACATTTATCAATTATTCAGCTAGTAGTTAAATAATTGTTATTAACTTCGACGCTGATTAATTTTATCCTGAAGCTGTCGGTGAACTTTGCAAACTTTCCTGTTTACGGTAGCAGCTTACTGTAATTAGAACAAGTCAAGTATTGTTTGTGAGATATTGGCCTTTGTACAATTGGAGTACATTGTGTTGATGCTCAGTGAAAACAGATAGCAAGCTATTTTAGGAGTTCTGCTGTCTGGCAGATAGTGTGACAGAAAAAAGGAAAAGCATAAAAAGTGTGCCTATTCAGCAAAGCCAAAATGTTGGAAGTACGGCTGATGGACCCACAAAGCGCTTTTTGCTCTGTCAACGTGCTAAAATGTGAGCTGAGAACACTGAGGATTAGAAGAAGCAACCTGAGATTCTTTTCAGCTTCATGCTGTACAGGACTTTTTCCTCTGCTCAGCGGAGTAAACTACTTTGAGAGGTTTCTGGCCACAGTGCAGCTACCAGAAGAGATTAGCAGCTTTTGCTGTTGTTTGAGGAATGAAAGGGGAGTGAAAATCGGTGCATTGTAGTGGTTTATTGCACAAATATTATGTAAACCATCAGCAGAAAATCACAAGATTAAACTTTTAGAAACAATGTTTACCAAACTATGTAATTACGATACTTTGACATGGTATGGACCCCATTATATTTGTTTTCACTGAAATGTCTTGCAGTCTTGTCTCGTCAGAGCTACCAGCCAGTATTCTATTTGAGAAGGTGGCAAAATGTCCCTGACTTTGCCAAATAAATGCTTCTCCTGTATTAAAGTGTTATTAGCTCATTTGGCTAAAGTAACAAACTACCAGTCAGAAACTAATCAAACTTACGGACGATGATTGCTGAATGTGTCTTCACCCAAAATCGTTCTCAAGGTTCTGGTCACACTGTACAGGCAGTAACCTGTGAATTGTGATGGATCATGGGCTGATGACTTACACATAAAAATCCTGTAACAGATAACGGAAATACTAAACAGCCTGCATTTAGATTAAAAATAAGGATCACAGCATTTGATTGTTGTTTCACCATTAGTCAGCATTAGTTCACAATTACATCTTAGAATATGAACATGGTTGTCCTGTGATAAACGGGGAGCAATATATTGGGGAGTCAGATCATACTCTGTAAGTAATTTAAATAATCTTAAAATTGATTCTAAAATGTCCTGGAACCTAATGTAAAAGGGCTAGATCAGGAGTAATGAAGGTCACTCTTCATTCCCTGCTAATAAATGTTGACTGATGACTTAATAACAAAGTGTTAATTAAGGGTAAGGGGTAGTGGGGTTGGAGTTTTAAACATGTGTTGATGTCTTAGATGAAGAACATTTTTTGAATTGTTCTAATTTTATTTTTAAAGAACTTCATGATGTCAGTGCTAGTTAGCACTAATGCAGCCACTCTGGATCAACAGGGGTTGAAGATCGTGGCACGGCTAAGATTATAGTGACTATGATCGTGTTGCCTTTGAAATGGTTGCTTTGAAGGCAGGGACCAGATCTGTGACTACACACAGTTAACTTAATTACATTCATAGCACAGCCAGAACCTCGTAGATTTGAAACAGTAATTGAAAAATGTCTCCAAGAATACAGCGAGTGCAACACAGTTGGTGCAAAACAATGACATAGATGCTCTGCATCCTTGATTTTATATAGAAATAGAACCAGAATAGAACCGGTTAAGTCATGCAAACAACATGACATGCATGCACTGAGTTGCAGTCATTGTTCCAGGCTGCCTCAGATTGATTGCAAAATTGAAACTGTGTCTACATTTATAGACAACAATTAATGCAAACCTTTACCAATTTCTCTCAGTCTCTTTTTCCTAGTCACAAGGAGGTTGCATTTTATTTTTGCTCTGTGACTGAACCACAAAGGACCATGAAACCCAACAGAACTGTCAGCCTGACTACAGTGCTGGAAAAAAAACTGAAGTTGTTCTCATTTTCCTCTGTTAATAATGGCATAATAATAATATGCCGTGTTCTCTAAAGTCTAAGTGCGTTTCTTGGGACTCTTCAGTTCAGTCTTGCATTCTAATGAGATACTCATTTGGGATAGTCTGTTTTATTTCTCGTTACTTTACATGAAGAAGGTCCACTATGCCTTTTCCTAAAAAGTACTGTCAGACAGCAAGACGGGTAGACTTTCTTAGAAGACGACATTTCGGCTGTAAAAAGTTAGACGGCCAAGAAATTGTCAGTGAAACAAATCTGTCCTCATGATAATTTCTGATGATGTAACATCATATTTACAGCCAAACTTTGCCCTACTTTCTTATGATACTTGATACTCTGGGAGCACAAACACCTTAAAGAATATGTCAAGTCAAAATGACACTTTTATTTATTTATTTATTTTTTATCTCTGAAATATTTCCAGTACGGTGCCTGTTTGGTCTAATAAATTAGTCATGCTTTTGTGTCATCCTGGCTTAACGGCTGTAGCTCTATTTACAAGCTTGGAAACTGCAGCTAGCTCAGAGTGCTGGAGTAAGACTTTTAGATACAGTTAGCTGTACCGCTTGCCTTTGCTGCGCTTAGACGTCTGTTACTGTACAGAAATGCTGAATACCATTAAAGATTTTATATATAACCTGAAGCTCTCCTCGGAATCAAACTCCTCCGGCTGGTAGATATTAACTCCTTACACTACCAGCAGGCATCTCCATCCGCTGTTGTGTAGGCCTCTCAGTGGGCAGTATCATTAATGGCTTATAAAACACTGTAACATATTTATTTTGGGCTTGTAAAATACTTTATTGGATATAAATAATGATACTTTGTTCAAATATATGAAGCTATGAATGTTTGTAATTATTGTTACAGTAATCCAGTTTATTCTCACTCAACTGTTAGATCATGGTTTTCTTCTTTTTATTTGACTCGTTCCAACCTTCCCAGGGTGAAAAGGGGGATGCTGGTCCTGAGGGCACCACAGGAGACAGGGGTGAATTTGGCCTGAAAGGAAAGGAAGGACCCCCTGGGCCTCCTGGGCTTGTGGGCGTGAGGGTGAGTGTTTTGGTAGCCAGCTCCAAATTTCATTCAGTTCCAATAAACAGACAGCTCTTTTGGTCCACTAGAACCCTGTTTGATTTTCTGTTATCAGGGTCAGGAGGGTAAACCTGGCAAAATTGGGGAAAGAGGAAGGCCAGGAGAAAAGGTTTGCCAGTTCACTTGCTTGAAGCTAAATACATCTTTCAATCTTGGATGTCTGTCAATTTACTCTCTTGCACTGGGAGTTAAAACGTTCTCTGCTGTAGTAGTAAACAAACAGAAAGGTCTGTAACCTCAATAAGCACAACACTGAAGGTGCTTGTCAAGTAGAGTTTTAGCATTAGATGTTTGATTTTGACAAACTAACTGCACAACTACTTAGGGCTATTTGTATGCTCAGTGAATAGCTGCTCATTGATGGCCTTTCTCCAGGGGAGCAAAGGTCAACAAGGTCATCTGGGTGAGACTGGGCCAGCCGGTGTGCCGGGAGAGCTAGGATTTGTTGGGCAGAAGGGAGCAAGAGGAACCATCGGACCAGTGGTAAATTCTTTACAGTAGGACTAAAAGACTTCATTAGTGTGTTTGTATATATGGGCTAAATATATATATTTCCCTAGGGTGCTCCAGGGAGAATGGGCCAACAAGGAGACCCGGGCATATCAGGTTACCAGGTAAGCCTTTGTTTAATACAAGCATCTAATTGTGGGGTGTTATGAAAAATGAGAGACCCGAGGGGAATATTCAAACAGCCAGGTTTTCATCTTCAGGCTCTGTACAGACTCACATAAAAAGGGATGTTTTTCCACGGGTCATTGCGATGATTCTTACGTACAAAACGATCCCTATGAGTGGCACCTACTCCAGTCAGAGAATATATGAGACGACGATCTATAAAAAATATAACAGTAAAATGCAACACTATTACTGCATATAAGACGGAATAATATCATTAACCTGGGGATTCATCTTATCAAGTAGTAAAATAAACATTTTCATTCAAGTTAATTATTTTATGACTGTATGCACGCTATTGAAGTAAAGGCCAGTGACACTATTGGATGCAGTCGGATGTTTTTTCTGCTCTTCTTCTGTCTTACAAACACGTCACACTGTGAAGCTTAAGCTCAGAGCTTGCTGTTCTGAAATGAGGTTGGGTCATAATCGTATTTTCTTGTCATAGGGTCACGCTGGACCACCAGGCCCACTGGGACCACCTGGGCCAAAAGGTGAAAAGGTACATTCCCAGTCTTATTTACTGCCTCTAATAAGCAGTTGCTCTTTGTGTCTAATGAGCTCTTCCTAACAATGTATGTAGCACATTGTCTTTGAGTGCATGGTCAGGAGTGTTTTTTGGGGATACACTTGAACTTCAGTTGTGTCTCTAATTAGTGCTTCCTGTGTCTATCTTGTTGTCCTTGCAATATCCCCAAAGTCATCTCTAATTTGATCAGTGATATGAACTAGGACACACCCAATTAACTAAGTGTATCAAGTGTATATAATTAGCCAAGCACCTGGACTTTTCTGCACATGATTTTGGCGAGATTAGCCACATAATTTGTGTTTATTTGACAGGAGCAGCATAGAATGTAACTCACTGCACCACAGTTTTAGTGAGATGCTAATTTGCAATTTTTTTTAGTCCCTTGGCAGAAGCCATCTGGATGTGGATATTTGTCATTTTCCCTTTGCCAATATCCTAGATATGATGGCTATGCTTGTGCTCTAATTAAATCAATATCATCCAATCACATGGATGATTGCAAAATTTATGACCGTCAATAAAAAATAGTGCAGATAAATACAGATCTGTCACAGTTCTGTTTTTATCATTTTTGCTACAGTACATTTTCGTTCATTTACTTGGCCCCCGCTCAGCCCTAATTATACTTCAGCTTTTTATTTTCCGTTCTGGGCTCTTCAATTATTTATTTCATTTGATACATGCACAGCACATACCTATTAAAATTATACACATATCTGTGGCTATTGTTTAATGAATCTCATAAAGACCCTGGAACAAATATTGGCTCCATTTATGTAAAATGGAATCATTGTGGGTAATAGTGCATGTAATGATTTGCCATCCATATAAAGAGAGCAAGCCATGTGTTTCAAACAAAGCATGCATTGATTTTGCAAAGACTGCTGGATTTAAGGGAAAATCTACTGATTGCAGTTGTTTTTTTTTTCTATTTTGCTCAATTAGGGTGAACAGGGGGATGACAGCAAATTAGAAGGTCTCCCAGGTCCTGAAGGTGACAGAGTGAGTTTCCGAGATTTAGCAGTTTTTCAAGTGCTGGTTCTCTGTGTGCACTTCCTGATTGTTTATTATGTTTTCCAATCTTAATCCAGGGCCGTCCTGGAGACAGAGGAGAGAGAGGAGAACCAGGTGACCCAGGGCAGACTGTAAGTAAAGTTTTAAAAAAAAGTGATATGCTCCTCTTTTTACATTATTTTTGGTGCAAACGGGGTTAAAATCAGCACTGAAATGAAGAAAATAAACATTTTCAGGGTCAAATAGGTTTTGATGGAGCAAGAGGGGATCCTGGTGCCCCTGGCCTTCCTGTAAGTATACTTTTTCTTGTAAACTGTAAAACTCAGTTGTATGAATATTGTGTAAAATTGTCCATAAAAAAAACTGCAATCTTTAAATCAAACACTAATAATCATTTCAGGGGAAACCTGGACCAAAGGGACAACCAGGACTGAAAGGATCCAAAGGTGACCAAGTAAGGACATAAATAGTTGCAAGATTTTACATTTATGAGTAACTTAATCACCTCTTCCAATATTACTGGGATATTATTATTACTGTATTTTCTTTTATGTACCCATGTCTGAACCTTGACATGAATTCTTTGTGTTTCAGGGTCAGAAAGGAAAATCAGGGGCAAGAGGTGCATCTGGTACCAAAGGGCCACCAGTGAGTTGGACAAACTCCTTGTCTGCTTATATAATGAAACCTTAACTTAAACATTAACATAAAGTTTTCTGATCGTCCAAGGGTCCCGAGGGTTCCACTGGTCCACGTGGGGTTGTTGGGAGGGAGGGACTTGAGGGTCCACCTGGTATGGATGGCCAGCCTGGCATAGATGGAAGTAAAGGCGTTAAGGTGAAGACACTGTCAGTGGTGCCTGTTTCATTGAATGAAAAGAAAATATTGCTCATTGATTGCCTCCTGTATTTAGGGGGAGCAAGGAGAAGATGGAAACGTGGGCTTTCCTGGAAAACCTGGGCAGCAGGGTGAAAAGGGTGTAACAGGGCTTCCTGGAAATCAAGGATCCTTTGGTCCAAAGGTGATGATGATGAAATGATGCTTGACAGCTTGCCTGGCTTTGATCATATTCATAAGGAACATGTTAACAGCATAAGAATCTTTATAGACTGCAGTGCAGGCAAAATTGTTGCTGATATTACTCGTAATTGCCAGAAAGCTTTTAATCTGCTATAAATGCCTCCCTCAGCAACATAATGCTGCCTTTATATGTGGAGCCTTATGTAATTTCAAAGGCTGAATGCTGCATAAAGTCTTTATACTGTTTCTCAGAAGACCTACTATCCATTGCAATAATGTCGGGAAGTTTGTGTTGGAAAGTATCAATGAATTGCCACAGTTTTTGTTTGCATGTCCTTGCAAATATTATATAAGATGCAAATATGCAAGACAAACAGAGAGGCTGTATTTATGAGATCTGAAGCATTGGACAGTTTTCACCTCGCTGCCCCACTCAGGGCATCAAGTTGCATTCTAATTTTGTTATATGTGATGATCTAAACATAAACATGCCAAGTTTTGATGAACTGTAGCTTGGTTCTTCTGCATCTAAATCTAAACCGATTTAAGGGACACCCAAATGAGAAAGCAACAGGCCAGCACAACTGTATTTTAGGTTAAGTTTTGCTACTGATACTTGCTACATGATTAGGGACCACACTAAATGCAATTAGCAGTGCCTTATCACAGAAAACATGAAGTAGGTGCTCGCTGTTAAAGTATCTATATAGAGGTTATGGCATGGATGTAAAAACGATTCTCGTGTGATTGCATTTCTTCTATAGGGCGAGAAGGGGCTCCCAGGACAAATTGGTCCAGCAGGGAAGAGAGGATCCATTGGCGGGATGGGATTACCAGGAAAACAAGGAGATCAGGGAGTTAAAGGGCAACTGGTGAGGGCTGACAACTCAAATTCCTTTATAGGACAGCATTCTTTTGCTAGGGAATAAAATCCATACTTTCCCTTCCTTCTTTTTTATTAGGGGGATACTGGTGAACAAGGATTTCCGGGGGTGTTTGGTCTCTTTGGACCAAAGGTAAGCTTCTACGCATTCTCCATTTAGAAGTGATGACCTCAGGCCAACATTTTTAGACTGAATAAAGTTTTTAACCTTTAGAATAGGCTTATTAAAGTAATTTGTGGGTTTAAGTCACCTTAAGGCTGAGAAACTTTTTTAGTCTTAAGTTGTCGAGAGCTGCATAATATTATATGATTTTTGGAAATATTAGACATGAAAGCTGTTTGGTATTACTGTAACATGCCTCAGGATGACATCTGCTACACCATACGTTTTACTTACAGCACTGCTGAAGTATATATCATTACAAGCTGAAGAAACAGAATAGGCTTTATTGGAGTCTGAGTCTTTAATTTAAAACCCTGAGAGTGATGTTGGATATTTTCCTGCAGTGGGGAGTTGAACAGGAGTGTCGAGCGCATGAGCTTTGTGCCGGTGCTCGGTAGAGTTTATAATGGTCGTTCTTACTCAGAAGAAATGGGCAAGAATAGTTAAAGCATGACAAGTTCTGGAATGATGTTACGTTTGTAATGTCAACAATATTGATAACTGTAATAAGTGTAAAATGTAGTGTTTTTGTAATGGCACTTTTTATGGTTAGGGCTTCTGTAAAACACTGTGCTTCAAACCATTTACTCCTTTTTTATATACATATTTAAAAGGAAAACTGTCAGCGCATGTGCTGTTCACCTGTTGGATAAATGTTTGAAATAGCACATCTGTAAAAGCACCTCCATGTTTGTGAAACCAAACTTTAGATTTATAAGAATATTCTGCGCTGCTGTGTTCTGTGCTTGTAAACCGCTTAGCTTTAGATTCCAGACTGCTCGTTTAAAAAAGTAATTTTTAACAACTTACATACTTGAAGAATAACTGTTTATTAATTTAAAAAGCTGCCTGGTTGATGTAGTGTTTGTTTGTACTCTTACCTCTGCAAAAAAAGAGACGCTAACACCTTGAAGCTAAGTTACTTTTTACACAATCTAAGGTAAATCCACACAAAATTTCTAAAGCAACTTTTTAAACCTGATATTAAAAACATAGTTTTGTTTGTTTGAGAAAATAATCTGCTGATCTGTATAGTGCGGTAAAACATTATTTTACTGTATTAATATTATAAAATGACTATTATAATAGTAGATGTATAAATTTAATGCACATGGGGCTTTGACACAGACACAATCTTAGACCTGCTTCTTAATGAATTGCAGCTAGAGACATTTCTTCAGCAGCTTTAATGGTGATGGAGGACAGTTTAAAACTGGCATATAGCTGTTTAAACATATCAACATCAGACAATATCATGAGAATCAGGGTTTCCCATCATCCAGTTTCCCACATGTAGCACACAGCTTTGGATGTGTTCTCACTACTTTAAATAACATGTTTGGTTTAGACAAAGAAATACAGATACTATTGTCTTCTTTTCTTGGGCTTGTTTCTAGGGACCTCCAGGAGACACTGGCCCAGCAGGAATACAGGGACCAAAAGGACCACGTGGTTTGATGGTAAGATGAAGATTAACGGTAGTTTGGCAACTCGGTGCAGTATTTCAGCCAATTTCTGTGCACTGAACTCTCACAAACTGCACACTTGGCATGAAAATTAAGTACCGCTTCATCAGATGCTACATCATCCGTCCTCAGTCACTTACATGCTTCTGCTTTCCAGGGTATGGAGGGTGCTTTGGGCCCCGTTGGCATCATTGGCCCCAGCGGTCATCCTGTATGTACCTCGTATGTCATCCCATGTGCCAAGCTTTATGTGACTTCTCCCTGGTTTTTTGGCAATGATGGAGTGATCCTTTGTCTTGTTTCTCTCCATCAGGGACCCCAGGGTGACAAAGGAAGTCGAGGGGAGACGGTGCGTGGCGCTGTTTTGATGAATCCTTTTCTGTCTTTACTGTGAGCACAGAATAGGATACTTAGTATGGAGACAGCACACCGCTCAGCCTCCTTTGCCCTCAGGACTTTTCATTTCCTATTGTGTTCCACTGTTTGTTGTTACACTCACAGTGACACTTAGCTGCTGTGGAAATCCTGTCAGGGTGATAAATGTTGGCTGCTTGCTCCTCTCAAGCTTTTTAAGAGGTTTGTTGAGCGCTCATACACAGGGATAATTCGCAACCTCACTCTTAAAACGCCAACAACATTCATGTATGGGTTTGCTGTGTGGAAATAAGATTTGCTGTGTGGAAATAAGATTTGTGAGTGTAGGCTTGCAAAGAAGCAAGAGGGCAATTCAAAATACAGTAGATAAAGACTGTCTGTTGAATTGGTAGCACTAAGATGCCATTACACTGTACAAGATAATATAAAGTCGTCTCTGCACTTATATTGATTGTATTGCTTTCATCTCTCTAACAGGGGACGCAGGGACCTAGAGTGAGTAATTAATCATATCTGTAGCTTTTACATTACTTTTTTAAAGCATGAAAAGAAATAAATGACCTTAATCACTTTTTATAAAAGCCAAGTTATAAATATTTTGAAGCCTAATGTGTGAATGGAACTTTTTAGGGATCTCCTGGTCCTCGTGGACCACCTGGACCAACCGTGAGTTCTTCTTTTTCTAAGGCAGATTTCTGTTTCAGACAATCTGGGGTTGATTTTGATGTTTCATGCGTGTGGGGGGAAATGCCAGGGAAAATTATGTTTAGTTGAAATGGATGACTTGTATTTTCCAGAAAATATAAATAAATTAATTGATCTCTGGCAAAGACAGGATGATTTAGTGGGAGAACAGACTGAGACACGCTGAGAGTAAAAAGTAGGAAAACGTGGGATTCCCTTTAAGTCTGCTGGAAAATAATTTGAAGAGTAAAAAGTCATTTGTACATCTACACTTTAAACTATAAACATACGGTGCTATTTACAGGATAATCTAACTAGTTACACCTGCTTTTCCCCCCACTGTGATCTAATACAAATAGCTTTTGGCTAGCAGCTTTTCTTTTCTGCATTTGATACGCTTTATTTCCTGCGTTTTCATGCCTCATTTCCTCTGCATTCATGATTGTGTCTTATCTGCACGTTGGGAGAAAATTAAACACCACCACCGACAGGGTAGATCAGGATTTACAGAACTGTTTCATGAACACAAATGCACTAAACGGCTGTTGTTACATAAATGCAGATAAGACAAAATAAGTTGTAATATAACAGGTTTTTTTCTGTTGTTTTCTAGGGGCGTCCCAGTTCTGCCCTTTCACTTGTAAGTGTGTTTCACCTGTTTTGTTAAACTGGATTTTTCTGGGATTAATCACATAATGCAAGTTACCTTCATGCCTTGCTACTTTTTTTTTCTGGCAGAGAAATGAAGCCCTCGGTGCTGCTTTTCAAGTCATTATTGATTCCCATGCTGCACTGAGACAAGAGGTTTGTATTGATGGAAACTATGCAGCTAAAGTTAATTGGGTCACTGCAGCAGTACAGAATATAGTCATGACTATCACAGTTTTCAAGAATAGCTACAAATAAACCAACAGTTAACAATGAAATGAAGTTTCATGTACTTAAAGACAAATTTCAAAACCTCAAGTGATTTATTTATGTGCAAATCAGAATTATCCGAGCATGGACCTGCCCATGTTAGACCAGGGCAATGAGATATTTAAGAAGCTGCAGCATCTCAGCACTCTGATCCAGAGTCTTAAGAACCCGCTGGGAACCCGCGACAATCCTGCCCGAATCTGCAGAGATCTCTACAACTGTGAGCAGAAGATGTATGACGGTGAGGAAATATTTAAACAGGACCATCATTTCTGCGCACATATGGTCTCTGTTTATGTAGTTAAGGGTTGTTCTCCCATCCTTCCTTCATGTTGAAAGGCACTTACTGGATTGATCCAAACCTCGGATGCGTAGCTGACATGATTGAGGTGACTTGCAACTTCACTGGTGGAGGACAAACTTGCCTGAAGCCTCTCACAGTTTCCAAGGTTAGGTTATCTATTTGTATCCATTTGCCTCAGCTAGATACAATATCCTGTAAAATGTAAATACATGTCACTTAGATACAGACAAGATTGCTTTGAATACTATGCAGACGGTGGGTAAATATCAAATCCACGATTGCTTGTGTCCTTGTGGAAAATGTTTTCCTCGTGTTGGCTTCAGAAAGATTTCTGAAAAAGTAGAGAGGCTTGGGGTTTAAGATGGGCCATGTGTGTGCATAATGACACTCGTGCAATAAATAAAGGAGCACAGCTGTTCAATTTCTGGCTCTGCACAATAAACTCTAGGACTATTTGGAAAGATCACAGTCGTAGTGAATCTTAAGGCATCACATTTGGTCTTCAGACTTGGCCAAGTCATCATCAAACACACACTGAGTTGGCAAGTAAATCCTCAGACTCTGAAAATACCCTTTATCCACTGATTCTTTTGTCATTTCAGCTTGAAGATATTGCAACAAAACACCGAATGGCACACAATAACACAAATATGGACTGATCTATTTCCTTGGTAAACTGTGAATATAATAACAGGGTTACAGGTACAATCTGTGATCCAGATGTACCTCATTCAGATTCATAGCAGAGCTGCAGTCTGTTATCAACATCCAAACAGATTGTGCTCAAGTCTGTCCATTAGAAAGACTAACAATTGGTTATTTTTAATTGTAAATTAACAATTGTTAGGGGTTGCTATCATTTATCTTAGTTTAACTGCTTTTCTGAACGTACTATAGTACATTTACTGCAAAAAAAAAGAGTAAATGATGTAAGATGAAGCCAATACACTCAGTATACAGCAAATTAGTTTGTCATAACACCAAGTCGTCCAGATTCTGAACTTGACCTTTTCACATTTAAATGCATTGAGAAAAATCTACTTACTTTATAGTTGGACACCGGGGTCGGTCGCATCCAGATGAACTTCATCCACCTTTTGAGCACTGAGGCTGTGCAGCACATCATCATTCACTGCCTCAACATGTCTGTGTGGGCAGCAGGGCCTTCCCTGCAACGTTCATCCACAGCTGTAAGCTTCAAAGCTTGGACAGGGGAGAGGATTGGAGCAGGAGACCTCCTGCAGCCGCTCGTACCCAGAGATGACTGCTGGGTATGCGTCGTTACCATTATGGCACTGAAGTCAATGCAATACTCAGTACTTTGGTCTTAATTGTATTATTAATGTATGTTGGGTTTTTTTTGTACAAAGCAAGAAATGTTTTTTTTTTCCTTTTAGGGCAGCGGTCTTCAACCTTTTTTGCACCACGGACCGGTTTATGTCCGACAATATTGTCACGGACCGGCCTTTAAGGTGTCGCGGATAAATACAACAAAATAAAACCAGCACCGGTACCAAAAAAAGAAGATTCATTCATAAGACAGGAAAAGACCCAGGGAAACCGAGTTAATGATAAAAACACAAAAAAAATAACCTTGAAAACCATAAATTTCACACCCGAGCCTCAACTCTTGCAGTCCGGTTCCAAATGACTCACAGACCGGTACCGCTCCGTGGCCCGGAGGTTGGGGACCGCTGTTATAGAGCATCACGTGCTTTAAAGACTTTATGACAAGTTCCTCTAAAAACTTAACTTAATGTTTTAACAGCCAGCTGGCTGTTTCATCAGTTATACAGAGATACTGGTTAACCAAGTTTTTTGTTTAGTTTTTTTTTTTAAGCCTTCATGCTTCACAAAGCTAATCACCTTCTCACCCCAGCTCCATTCTTCAATATTCAACCTAATATTTTGTGGGTTAATGCAGTTTGGTTTGATGTGCTCAAAAAAAGGAATGCAGCATTAGCCTTCTTTCCATAAATCCTGTCCCGGTTACTTTGGATAATCCACAAAACTCTTTGTCAGTAGTTTCTGGAAGGAGCATTTCTTTGGTAGAAAGTCATTCCAATTAAAATTATTCCCAGTGACGTCTGAGGATTATCGAGAATAGACTGCTTTTTCAGTGAGGGGCCCAGTTAAATTCCATTTACCTCTTTTTGCACTGGTTTTGAAGACAGTGATGGATATCTGAAAATGAGCTGATAAAATTGTGTCAATATAGAAATGACGCCAGGCGACGGAGAACTGATTCTTTCATGCAATTTTGTGATTATATCCCATAACACTATGCAAATCTGGCTTTCAGATCAAGGATGGGCGCTGGCATCAGACGCATTTTATCTTCCAGAGCCAGGATCCAAACTTACTCCCCATAGTGGATGTGCACAACCTCCCAACTGCAGAGCCCGGGGCACACTATCACCTAGAGGTTGGACCTGTGTGCTTCTTATAAATAACTGTGGCACGCTCCTAAAAGCAGTGACTTCATGGAAGATTTTGGATTAGGGAGAACAGCACTTCAGTGATTTGCAAAAAAGAAAAAAAAACACAAAAAAAACAACCTCCCATTTTTTTTCTCCCCAAAATATGCTTGGACTGCAGAAACAGGAGGGGCGCCAGATAAAGAAGGCCCGTTGGAATCGCAGAGATAAGACTTCTGGCACTAATCAGCATATGCAACACAATAAGCTCCTTTTGTTAGAGACTTGTTTGTGTGACACAAGACCTGGATGCCCCTTTTGGAAGGAAGTATTATGAACGTCTCATTTCTGTCATCTCTCAGACCACGGTGTATCATAGTTTCTTCACGGTCTGACTCGTATGGAAATACAGAACAGTTCAAATTCAGTTACTCCTTCTTTCAACGTTTAAGTATTATTTAAACATGTATATGTACTGTATATTGTAAGATAAAGTGCAATAGTTATTGTTACACAGCCTTTAAGGATACACGGTATCAATGTCATATCACTCATTCAGGTATAGTGTGCTTCAAGCACACACACACAGTCTCCAGGTAAGTCTTTTTGAGCCTCTATTAACTGTCCAGTGCTACGAGACACCACATTTATGCGGATATCTTCACACAAATAACTGCTGTGGGGTGCCTTAAATGTCAAGGTGGAGCAAAGATTTCTCGTGTGAACTGAAAAAAAAAGTGTCAAGATGCTACCTCGTTCTGTTCCTCCCATCCCACAGCAAAACAAGTCGTTGCCTGATATGATCTGGGATGACACAGAGGTGACACCTGGTGCTGCCGCAGTCGACACGCGTATGATAAACTCTTGTCAGCAAAGCTAGGTCTGTGCTTTTAAAGGGAAGACTTTTACGTATACATACAGGCCAAATTTCTTAAATTATATTTTCAAGGTATTACCGTTTTCAATATTCTTTGTATGATTCTGACAAAATAATTTCAGTTTGTCAAAATGTAAATGTATAGCTATGCAACATTTATTATCAGTGGATTCTATTTAAAGATTATTTAAAATCTTCAAACTAGGCACCGTTTTAGGATTGTATTTTATTTTTTTGTCATTCGGAGGTTTAAAGGTTCTTACTGAAATATGCAATAATGATAACGACTCAGAGGATATTTTTTTTGTTTTTACACTATACAACTCTTAACTACCATGGTACACAAGCTAACATTGTTTTGGTCTGCACAGACATTTAAGTCTAACGCCTCGATAGGTAATTCGATAAAAAGTCTGAAAGCTTTGTTGATAAGTAGCTTTCCGAGTTTTTCTTCAAAGGAAAATTTTCAAACGCAACAAAATAAATGCATTTAAACTGCCTGTTTGTGACACTTTACTTTCCTTTTGTTCATTTCACACCTGGAAATTTGATGTCGTGTCAGCCACTACTACCATTGTACAGATGAAGGTAAATGGTGTCTGTGATGTCTTTTTTCTCTAGCAGCTTTCATCATCATTTAAATTTTAATGCCATTAGGGGCAATGTTACTGCAGTCTTACGCAATTCAAAAACACAGACAGACTCCAGGTTTAAAAGTGTTATATTAGCAGAGTGCTGTATGGGTGTTGATAAGACCAGTTAAGACCATGTTTGTACAGGATGCTGTACATACACGGTCTTATCTCGGGCACATGGCATGACGGCCGCCATCAATTGGCAGGTTGACTCCAGTAATGAAGCTGGCAGCATCAGATGCCAGGAAAGCAATGCTGTGGGCCACTTCTTCCACCTCGCCTGGTCGACCGAGGGCATGGGTCTGCTTACACTTATCAAGAAACTGGTGGTAAAAACATAAAACAATAAGAAAATAATGCTACACTTTTGGTTCTGTTGCTAAAAAAAGTTAAAGAAATAGATCCTCACATTTGAGATGACTTGAGTTGCATGACTGAGATTCTATACATATTTATTCAGCTGAATACAGTAAATATTACCTGGGTATACTGTTCGTCATTTAGTCCCGCTCTCTTGTGGACATCGGTGATGATCACACCAGGACTGAACAAATAAAATCAGAAATGAATTTTTTCTCCCCATCAGAGTTTTGGACAGTCAAACAGCACAGAATTGAAAGCAGTTTTCACACATGGACTCTCGAAAAAGTTTGGAGAACCAGTTCAGGAGTTTGAAGTTGCCCCTTTTTTGTAGCACACAGCAGTAGGTAAATGGACTGATACTTATACAACACCTTTCTATTCAGTTGAGCACTCAAAGCACTTTCTACTGCAAGTTCCATCCACCCAATCACACACAAAATCACACAGTGCTTTCTAAGCACTTTGTACCAGTGGCGCGCACACTCGCACTCTGATGGATGTATCAGGGGTGCCTAAGAACACTTCGGCACAAGGCTGGATGAGTCAGAGATTGATCCACTGACCGTTCCAATTGGGAAATGACTTGCTGTGCCACCTGAGCCACAGCCGCCCACGGGAGTTGCTTGAGATGTCAAATTCTTTGTTTGGTTTAAACCAGGGTGCTGCATCGTTAGAGCAGGCAGGAGGCATATGATGCCCACTTTGCTTGTGCTATTTTCACTATTTTCACTTTTATCAGCACTATCCGCTGAAAATCTGAAAATGTGAAGGGCCGCACTGCACGTTTGAAAAACTTCTTATTAAAAGAAGAATGAGAAATGAATGTGATCATAAATCTGAACCTGTGCAACGATAACATGTTTATTGCACTTACCAGACAGAGTTCACTCTAACCTGCTTTGATGCCAGCTCTGAAATTTAAAAAAGTAGTTATATGATGGGCCATTCTTATATGCCAATGCAAACTTTTATATTGCTGTCCACATGAAGGTAATAAAGAGCTCACCAAGTGCTATGCAACGTGTAAACTGATCAATAGCAGCCTTGGACATGCAATAGGCCAACACACCAGGGAACTACAGAGAGAAAAATTACACTTCTTTGAAGATGCTTTATAACACATAAGTTCATAAAGATATTTCATATGGATGGTGCTGTTTAAATATTGCGTCTACATGCAGAGTACCCACTGATCTCTGTCCGTTCACACTGGATACATTGACGATGGAGCCTTTGGTCTTGATCAGGTGCGGTACACAAAGTTGGGTCAGGTGGTATATAGATCTGTAATATATGAACTAAAATTACTTTTAAAAGTCTTTGAACATTAAATATGCAGTTATGACTCATTATAATAACCAGTGCTTGGTCAGTTAACATCCTGACATCTGTGATTGGCTTCACCATTGTAGTAAAAGCAGTATCTCACCAAGGCCTACATTAATCAGGCTACATCCAGTCTAGACAGCTGATGAATGGTTCTACTGAGATAATGTTCCTGTCGATAATGGCAGTGTTAAATCTGTATTTGCACAGAATTCACTTTCTGCTTGTGAATTCCAACCTGTTTTTACAGCACAATAGAATTAATGTAGGACTAAATGGATCCTACATTAGAAGGATTGGCCATCCTAAGTATGTAAAAAAATTGACTTCAAAAGGATACCGTGTTCTTATCAATTGTTTAACATTTTATATTTTAACAGCCTCACATTTTCATACATGCAGCTTCATTGTGTCCATGGTGTGTAAAAATGGTTAAACATGCTTAATTCTACTTTTCAAGCACGCATGCACACGTTAAAGAGAAAGCACTGCTAAACTGCTCACAAAATAATAAAATATTAACTGTTAAACGTCACGTACAGTTTAGCATATTTAAATAAAATAAATCTCATATTCAGTTGTATTCAAATGCAGCATCTTAAAAAATACCCTCACAGGTTGACAAGTATCATTATTATAAAGATATTCTTAATATATGAAGAGTGCCATGTAATAAATGATTTCTCTTTCCCAGTTTTATATTTAACCTCTTCTTTAATCAACAACTATATGGCTTTGTGAAACTGACAGCAGTACATCTCCTACATAAAGCCAGGTCTCCTACCTCACATTAACATTCATGACCTTGTCATACTGAGCCAGGTCTGTTGTCTCGATGCTGCCCATTGCCAGTATGCCAGCACTGTTGACCAGCACATCCAGCCGGCCGAAGTGAGCGATAGTTTTCTCCACCGTGCTTTTTACAATCTCCTCATCAGTCAGGTCTCCAGGAACGAGTAGAGGCTGCATGCACACACAACCTTTCATTAAGAACTGGTTTTTAAATTAGTTATAAAGTTGACAAAAATGTATGCCTTCAACACTAAAGTAACAGTAAATACAGAACAAACTGTTTTGTTAATGGCACAAATAATGGTCAAGTAATAACAATAGTGGCACCAGCCTTAAAAACTGCTTCTTTACACTCACCAGTCACTTTGTTAGTTACAATGCAAATATCTAATCAGTCAGTCTCTGAGTATTTAGAGTATTACTAAATGCAACACATTAAACCTTGAAATAGATGGACTACCACAGCAGAAGACCACACAGGGTACCACAGCAGGTGCCATTCCTGCTGCTTTGGATGGTAGGCTCAGAATTTGGCGTAAACAACATGAAAGCACAGATCCATCCTGCATAGCATCAAAGGTTCAGGCTGCTGCTGAAGGTGTAATAGTGTTTTCTTGACACACTTTGAACATGAAAATGACTTTGCACTTTGTTCAAATGCCCTCCAAAATGACCAGAGTCCAACAGATGAGCTCTGGCATTGTGGTGAAATGGGAGATTTGTAAAATAGACATGCAGGAGACAAACCTGCAGCAGCTGTCTGACACTATCAAGTCAATATGGACTAAAATCTCCAAAATGTTTCCTTTATGTTCTTGCATCTATGCCGTGAAGATTTAAGGCAGTTGTGAAGGCAAAAAAGCTACTAGTAAGGTGTAACTTACAAAGTATACAGTAAGTAGGTATATGCATCTCTATGCTTGTTTTTGTAATTCTGATGTAGTTACAAACACTAAAATTGTTTAATAACTTAGTTCTGCTCATTAAATTGACCTGCTGTTGGTCATTAAATTGACCACCAGGAGGTCACAGGAGGTTGTACCAACCGCTAGAAAATGTATAAAAGTATAATATTTTTATTACAGCATCCAACTTGTGTTTATTCAACTACATTATAGAAGTGTGTGCAGATATATATGAAGCATACTACGTTATGTACCTCGTCGGCTCCACAGTCTGTGCATTCTTTGGCTACTTTGTTGAGGTTTTCCACATCGCGGCCGTTCAGAGCCAGCAGAGCTCCGAGTTTAGCGAACAGGACGCTCGTACCGGCTCCAATTCCCGAGCTGGCGCCAGTTATCAGGGCCACTTTCCCCTTCAGAGATGACACCTACAATGCACAGCAAAAACACTTCCAAGTCTTTCTCCGGGGTATCTTAACTTGCAGAAATAAGCCCGGATTTCGTTCATTTTTGTTGCCCTTATTAGCCAGGTCCCTCTTGGAAGTTAAATGTAACTCTCAATGAGTTTTCGCCTGGATAAAATAAATGAATAATAATAAATACATGACCAAACTCATAAATGAGCAACCATGAAGGACTGTAAACCCACGCAAGGCAATAAACTTACTTTAAACGCATCACCTGTAGCCATGATTTCTACCAGGGTCCGCGTGACAGTTGTCCACTACTGATGACGCAATGTGACGCAATAAGTCATTTGTAGTTCAAACTAGTTCTTAGGACTACAAGATGTTAAGCGGACTCTCACGGAAAAGATGCTGCATGTAAAACATATTCTGAAAACATGCTAAAATCAAAAATGTTTTTATTATAAGTTTTTTTTAAACACGCAACATTGGCAATTTATTACATTCCCCTTTAGAGTACTTGAATAAATGGAAAGGAACCTGTTAAGGACAAAAATAATTTCAAAACTGATTTAAAGCACAGACAGTGTAAAATACGGATACATCTTCGTCTGAAAGGTGAAACGAACTTCAACCTGTATATCTTGTTAACGACCAGCAGGAGGCGACTCTTAAAGTTCCAAAAAGACTTGCGTTTACAAAGAAGTCTATGGGGAAACAATCCTCAGCTCCTTTGTTATGTAACCTCAGCAAACACTTTCCTGATAACTTTGGGTTCAACTGCTAGTTTCAGGTTAACTAAGTAAATCATAATCAGTTTGTAAAATATGGTAATTTTTACAACCAGAAACTAAGAAATTTCCACGCTATTTTCACTGGTTAACAACATATCATTCATGTGTCAGTAAGAAGTGTGTGGCCTCCTCTGGTCTCCTGTTTAGATCCACCTCCATCTTGTGACAGTCAGCTTCAAAAAACAACTTTGAAACACTTCAGAATGAGACTTCACTAACCAATGGGTGACATCATGGTGGTTACATCCATATTTTATTTTTTGTTTACAAAGTTTATTGTCTAAAGGAAACAAGACATCCCCCTGATTTATATATACTTTTTACATGAAGTTGCAAAATGAGGAACTACACCGTATAAAAGTTAAGACAATTTAACACTTTGTAGCTTAGAAGTCAGCACTCTGCCCACTGTCTGGGCATGTGAGTGGACTCTCCAGTTCTACCATTTGAAAAGTATTTCGACTTTAGCAAGGCAACAAGCATTGTATCATATGAAAGTGAAAATCTGCTATCCAGCAAAAGGATTAGCATGAATGGTGACATCCTTTATCCGAGTTTCAGTCAGTGGCCGGAACGTCTTTTCATTCACAGGCAGCTTCTCCAGCTCATCCAGTGTTTCCAAGCCGTCTATGATCCTAAATTTTAGAGGGTAAGCAGTCAGCAAATGTTTCAATTTTACCTGAGGTAACAAAGCCAGTAGGTGGTCACACAATCATAAACCTGTTTTGTTGGCTTGCATAAGATGCTTACTTTCCAAACACTGTGTACTTCATGTCCAGGTGAGGCTGTTTGGCATAAGTGAAGAAAAACTGGGAGCCATTCGTGTTGGGACCATTGTTTGCCATGGAGACCACTCCTCTTACATTATGCTGAAATCAGAAGAACGAAAAACATTCCCACAGAATGACACTTGGGTAAAACCAGCTTAAACCAACTAGCTATAGGATTTACTCACTTTTAAGTGTTCACTGAACTCATCCTCAAATTTACGCCCCCACATGCTTGTTCCTCCTTTACCTGTACCTGGAGGTTTTAATAAGAAAACAAAGATGCAATGAACAGGAAGTTCATTTTATATATTTTTTTGCCACTTCAAAAACAACAATAACATCTGTACCTGTAGGATCTCCGGTCTGAACCATGAAGCCCTTTATATTTCGGTGGAAGACGCAACCATTGTAGAAGCCGCTGGCACACAAAGCAAGAAAGTTCTGCAAAAAAAACACCAGCAAAATTAAATGCAAATTCTTGTATTTGTCATGTTTTTAAATTACACTTACAAATGTTATTATTACATTAAAAAAAAAAATGCAATCTTAAACACCTTCATCGCCCTTAAGAATTGACTATCTTTATTTACCTGACAGAATATGATCATTTCTGAGTCTAGATTGTAAAGAACTTTATCTGCCAGAGGTGACCACATCACCCCTCTTCCATCTTCATTACAGACAGTATATCTTAGAACTCAGTTTTTAAATTGAGTTTTAATGCTCTTTGTAGTCTTGTGCCATGCTGGAAAGTAATTCCGACACATCAGGTGCACACAAATCTGAATAAAGTCTGAAATCAGGTCAGTAACCTCTTAGAAATGTCCTACATCAGTTCAATCATTCATTTGATTTGATTTATCAATAATCATCATCATCATTTACACCTGCATTCAACTGGCACGCCTTTGGACTGTGGGAGGAATCCGATAGACCCATGCACACACACAGGACCAACATGCAAACTTCATACAGAAAGCCCCCAAATTGCATTTTAGCGTACTTTCGTACTACAACAACACAAGATCCAAGTGGGTTAGGATAAACGCCATCCCACCTACGACCCTGAATTAGTGGAAGAAAATAAATCGAGTGCTGGATCGTCTTACTTTTTCACGTAAAGGTCCATAAAATGTAAGAGTTTTAAAATAAAAGGCTTGATTGCTAGGGAGAGTTAGGGTGAGAAATACATTTACCTCACATGCCCTCGGTGTGCGCTCACAGAACAATTCAATTTTAATGTCTCCTAGATCTGTGTGAAGTGTAACAGCCTGCAAAATAGACAAGAACATCAAAAACATCACGAAGACAAGGAAATTCTCCCGAACTTCAACTTCCACTACTTGACTAGCTTAGCCTGCTATCGCAAAGAACTACATTATTACACAATGCTTTAAGTGACTCGTAGCCTGTTCAGAACCGTTATAACGTAATATTAGGAAACAACCTCAATTTGACAAATAGCGACTGTAAATGCGACAATGAAACTCACCATTTCAAATGTTGCGTCTGTGAATAAGTGTGTCGAAGAAACATGTCCGTGTGGGGATGGGTATCCAACGGTGAATGGTTCCGCAAGGAATTTTCACAAGCAAAACGAGAGGCGCAGACAATTGAAAAATTAAAGAAAAAAAAAAAAAAGAGTCACTGGCACCAACAGTGAGGGGAGGGACATTTTGCTGACATGGTTTGGGCGTGGTTGTCCAGTTTCTGGAAATGGTCCTTGTAAAAAATTGTTAATGAGTGATCTCCTTTATCCTATGATGAAGGATTTTTGTAAAGGTGGGAGTGGTATCTTCCTGCATGACAATAGCTTTGCCCATGAGGGCATAATGGCTCAGTCACACTAGAGTACAAATAGGATAGCCTAGTCATTGTGACAAGGAAATTTCAATTTGTAGGTTTGGTCATGCCACTATCTCCAACCTCTGTTTGAACGTGTGTGACTGTAGCATGATATGGGTCTTTGCAGCCAGTTGAACACCTACAGTATGAGAGATGTTATACTGGTATATATCAACCAGTGCCAGGGGTTCCATAGTGTGGTGGTTTACACATTTGCACACTGGTCAGTATCTGTATCTGCACACTTGCACATCAAGCTAAACCTTTATGTAATTGTTTAACCCTTCTTGTGCAAGAAGCCCAACAGACACCAAGACAAATGTGGCTTACTTCATTTTTTTATTTTACTGGAGTCAGTGGTGTACAAGAAATGAAGAGAAACATGTTCAAACACACTCAACGTCAGTACTGATGCATTGATGATGTTCCTTTGGCAAAAAACAAAACAAAACTGCACAAAACCAAGTGTGTCAAGATAACACGTCTGAGAGAAACAGAGAAAGATGCAAAATTATTTTGTACCCAAATTAAACATTTTAAGAGGAAAAAAGACAAATTAAAAATAGAAAACAGAAACCAAAGGGTAAAGAAGTCCCATTAATCAGACAAACTACTTGGGCTTTATCTATTGCTCACAATAAAGACAATTCAGACATGAGATGTTTGACAAAAACACAAGCAAGGTCAAATAAAGTGGTTTCTCCTTGAAAATACAGATACACTTAGTTTCAATTCAGCAGTTAATATTAAATACACAAAACTAAAAAATAATGTATAGAAATTTGATATAAAAATGTTATCACAACCGTTTAAATTATTAACAGAAATAATAATAAAAAAATAATACCGTAATAATAATAATAATAATAATAATAATAATAATAATAATAATAATAATAATAGGCAATCAACTAAAAAAAAAGTGAGTACTGGCTGCTTTCCTGAGAAATTTAGTTCTACAATAATCCTAACAGATATCAAAATTAAAATAATAAAATTAGTCTAATAATAAAAATGAAAAAAGGAAAGATTAACAGTGACTAAGACAAAAACATGTTTATTTAATGTTACTACACTATGCACTGACCACTTATTTACAGTACTGATTGCAACAAATCACTCAGAGGTGATGACATGATGTCTCTTTTAAATGGAATAGTCGATTGTCTTACTAAATAGGTGTATTGCTAATGTGTTTGTGGGTATCATTCAAAATGCTCCACTAAAGACCAAAATTCATCTCTTTTTTTCCTTTTTAATATTTCTATGTAAAAGCGTAAACTTAAATTTAATCTCGTGGCTGGCAGTCATTCAGGTAAACCTTCCCACACTGGAAAATGCCCAAAACAGGTTTTTCTATGTGCATACAATAACTTGTACACTATTGTTTGCAACACCTAAAAGTAAGTTCTGAGAGAAGTGCTATAGTGCAAAAGCATCCTTTAAGCACAACGATCTCTAATCTACTTAATGTGAAAATCTCACCATGTCTTTAGTAAAACCAATGTGACAAAATGAATACAAATGCACATTAGAAATCTATATCGTTACTAACAATACAGCTTAAATAAATGTAATACTGCACAACATAGCATAGTCAAACATGTCACGGTTATAGATGCGCATAGCTGAAATGTTTTCTATTATGTATATTGCTTCAGTCAATCTTTATTAGAACAGGAATTGTATTTTTCTTGGGGTAAATACAAGAATTCCTGTTGTGTGTTGTGCTGCATCAGAACTGTGGATCAATAACAAATTCCAAATTTTTAGCTTTGTCTTGGTCACTGTGTCAAAACAAAAATACAGAACAGTCACTCTCAATTGAGCAAAAACAAGTAAACCTTTACCTAAAAATCTCTCTCTCTTAATTAAAAACTAGTGAAGGTTAAATATGCTTTTAACTGTGAGAAATAAAGTTCATATTTTGAGAAAAAGAATGCACTGGTTACTTCCAATTAAGTCTGATTATTGATTTAAAAAACAAAACAAAAAAACATATCTTTTCTTTTTCTTACATTTGGTACTAAAACAAAGACGGGTATAAAAACAAACAAATAAAACCCTTCCCCAAAACCCAGAACGTCAATGACAAAGTAGCTTATCTGACACCCGATCCATCACAACTCAGAGGTTATTGCCCATAAAACAACAAATGACCTTGATCTTGAGCATAATTTAGATGATGATTCATTGGGTTATTGTGTGTGCAAGCTTGATTATATTGTGACTAATACTGTCTTGTGAATGAACAATGCACCATGGATGCCTGGCATAAGCTCAATGGTCTTTTGGACAGATGAGCTTTAAAAAAAAAAAAAAAATCAAATCAAATAAATAAATAATAATAAAACATTAATAATAAACTACACTTTGTGCATCTTCAGTAACCAAAATCTAAACTCAACAGCTAGGTACAGCCTTGTAGAAGTTTTACCGGACAGCTTAAATTAAGGAAACTATGACAACAAAAGCTCCATCACTATCTGGGGCTTACTATTATGGTGCACTTTGAAAAACTAACAATTTTCATCTGACCAGACAACAGAAATATAACAATCAATGCATGACAACGAGAGGAGAAAATAAGGCAACTAATCTGATCAACTTGTAAGATTTACTTCATTTTCTTTTCATTTAATTGGAATGCAGGTTGATTCTGTAGCAGTAAAATTTCAAATTTCTTTACTACTAGCTTTTTAATATCAGCAGAAAACAGTAAAAGAGACTTTTATCCTCACCTCAGTGAGTAATATGTAACATTTCCAACATTTAACATTTAGGATGTGTGTTTTCTCACACATAGGTGAGCAGCTTCTTCACTGAACATTGCACACTAATGCAGTCCAGTAATAATAAAGTAACAGAATTTGAGTATAGTAACAAACTAAAATGAACATGAGGCTAGGTGCTTAAAAAATACATTTAAAGACATGATGACATGTCTGGTCTTTCTTATTTGTAGCTATTGAGCTATCATTGCTTATCACCAGTGATTCTTTTTACATCTGTTACAAAAAAAAAAAGAAGCCCCAATCTCATTTAAGCCTCTACGTTTGACAGACATATTACAAATACTTTCAGGCTCCATTTGAATTTCACCACTGTCATTCTGTATAAACTTAATCTGAATTCCTGTGAGGCAGACATGACTCATCTCATTCAAAATCTTTAAGCATTCCCCCGCATTTTATTTTGTTATGTGCAAGTTATTGCAAACATATCATATACTTTTTTTTGTGAAAATGTTATTTTCCATTAAAGATATACTAGCAGTAAGGTTTGGGTATTCTGATAAGCTTCACTAATGCCATTTTAATGCTAGTGCAATAAGTGATATGCAGCAGAATAATTGCTTTTCCTTTAGCACTAGGTCAAACACACATCTTTCCATAGAAAGAGGGAACCGAACCCTACATTCTGCCAAATTGTCCATTCTAGTATCAAAAGATGATCAGCCAACCAACCAACAAAAAGCCCTTTAGCGCTACAATACTAACAGTGTCCTCAATGGCCTTCTTCTTCCCACTTTGTAAACCACCTTTAGGTACAAGGCTCTCAGTATAATCATATTCCACTCATCTATAGTTATTACTGTTTAGTTAAGTCATACTATCATATCACTCTTAATAGTGTCTTTGTAACTCAAAACAAGTGATTATCGTCTATATACAGAAATAAAGATGTCTTGGAAGTAATTTTGCCATCTCATTGTGCCTTCAAACCGGAACACCTGACAAAATATTTTAATGTATTAAACCTTATTTTTTTAGTATTGATCAGTGGCATACGCTGTCTTCTATACCATAATCGAGAGGCATAAAAATGTAAACACAAGATTCAAACTATATTATTGCTAAAAAAAGCATCATTACTGAATTATAATGTAAAGGCCTGAGAAGTTTTTTGTGAAGGAATTAATAAATCAAATAGACTAAGAAGACAGCCAGAAACTGCCAGGATTTTGGTTCTACCTGGCACTGGTTCTTGATGCCCAAACTTAGAAACGGCACAATGCAGCAGGAATACTGCCTGTTATGGCAAGCCTCTGGGACCAACTTGTAGGTCCAGAGCCAGTAGATCAGTATCTGTACTTGCAGAAGCAAACCTGTTTTTTAAACTTGTTCTTTGTCCGCTTTCCACAACTGCTCCTTGACCTCTGTGGGCAGTGTGTTGAACAAGTCCTCTTCCACCACAAGACCAGTTCTCTTCAGCTGTCGGCACTCTCCAAGTTCCACCGGCAGACACTCTAGGCGATTTCCTCTAAGCTCTAGTTGTGTCAATGCAGTCAACTCTCCAAATCGTGATGGTAGAGACTGCAGGCAATTGTTTCCCAAGTTCAAAGTGCGAAGCTTCTTGCACTGGAACAGTTCATTAGGCAGGTTCTCAATCTGTATTTTAAAGAACAATAAATTTTGCATTGGGAAAAAAAAAGGAAAGAAATTATGACTTGTAAGTTCATTTATTGTTTTATCAGCAAATAAATAATACAAATAAAGCATTATGGATAAACTCCAATCTATAATTAGGATAATATTAAAATGGTTGGAAACTATGCTTATTACATCACTTACCCTATTGGCTGTCACTGCCAGGTATTGAAGATTTTGGAGGAAGCCAATATCTGTTGGGATATAGGTTAGGTTGTTATGGCTCAAATCCAAGATGCGCAGCTTGCGGCAATAGAACAGCTGACTGGGGATCTTCTCAATCTTGTTTCTGTTCAGGTACAGCTTCTCCAGGTTGTTCAGGGTGCCAATCTGAATAGGAATGTAGGCAATCTGGTTGTACCAGAGCTTAAGGCAGACCAACCGATGAAGATGCTGGAAGCTGATGATCTCCTCAATGGTTTTCAGGTTGTTATCCTTCAGGTCAATCTCTTGCAAGTTGTGTAAACTGAAGATTGAGTGTGGTATGCGTTCAAGATCACAGCGAATAAGCTCTAGTTCTGTCAGATTTACCATCTTTTTTAGACTATTGAGCACCATGAGCTTGGTTCCTTCATTATTGATGGACAACTTCTGGAGGTGCATGCCCACATCAGTGACCACTTGAGGTAGCTTGGTGAGATTGCTCTTCAGACGAAGCACTTTGAGTCTCTTGAGCTCACGGAGCCCATCAATGACAATGTAAGGGTTGTTCTCAGCACTGAGATTCCCTGTCAGATGAAGCTCACTGAGATTCTTCAAACTGTAGATCCATAAGGGGATTTCTTTGATGTCGGTGAACTTGATATGCAGAGACTTTAAATTTTCACGCAAAAAAGCCAAAGCTGGAGCTTCTATTTTGGCTGGGGTGTGATAAAGCCACATCTCTCGCAGGTTAACCAGCTGAGCAATGATTGGGGGAATGGTCACATCTGGGATTAGCTCCAGTTTAAGAACCTCCAACTCCATCAGATCGAACACTGTATCTGGAATGCCACTAAGCATGAAAAGGTGCAACTCCAACTTCTCCTGAGAATTCTTAGTTATCCTCTGCCTGAGTTTGTCCAGTGTCCACTCGTTGTTGAGGTTGAGTTGCCTCAGCTTATTTTCGCTTACTTCTGAGAGGAACACGGCAAAGCGTTTTGAGTACAGAGGATCATACTGATCGATCATGTGCAACATGAATGCAAAGTCATTCTTCACATCAGGTATGTCACTGTAGCTGCTCTCTTCCCGGATTGACTCAAAGGAGTACTTCTTTAGGGAGCGCCGAAGCATCCAGCAAAGCGTGTACATGCAGATCAAACCATACACCACCACTAAACTAATGTAGAAACATGCTAAGATTTTAAAAAGTGTAGCGAGCGGGTGAGCACAACGGTACACGCTGTAACCAGTCAGGCTCTCTATATTTACAGAACAGTCAACACTAAATTGAATATCATGCACATAATACCCTGTGTAGCAGATTATCAAAATAAACTTGATGACTTTGATAATAGTCTGGCGTATGTACAGTCTGTACACAATGTCTCCTTCTTCCACGTGTATGCGGAACTTCTTCACTTTTTCAAACAGAGCTTTTGCCTGTTCACCCTCCTTCTTGTCCAAAACTCCTGTTTCCGTTCTATCTACAATGCCCTGCTCAAAGCGTGATTTTGTCCTTTGAAGCATAGGAACACTTGCTTCAACATCCTCACTTATTACAGATTCTTTGTGGTCCATCGAGCCATTCATTTTCATTGGTTTTGGGTCACTTTCTTCAACCACTGTCTCTGATAGTGCCCTTGTTGTCCATGGAGAATCGAAGCATTTTAGCAAGATAGATACAAAGTGTTCTAGTTTGGAGCTAGTCCGTGGAAACTTGAACCAAAAGTTGCTGCAAGCTAGAAAAATAAGGGTGTGGAGTAATACTAGGTAGGGGAAATACTTGGCAAACCAGTGCAATGTATTTTCATAGCAGACAGCGTCAACATAATTGTACTGGTGGCGGTCCAAATCATACTGGATCCCTTTGGGCACTGATGATGTGATGCTTGAATTGAAGTTCCTCTTGCAGGTTTCATTGACCACCCATTTGCAGGGCAAGCAGATCATCTTGTCCTGGGTGACCTGCAGTGTTCCCCCAAAAACAGAAATCATGAGCATGACAATGGAGATATAGTCGGTGAAGACATCCCACCAAGGTTTCAGGATGCGGTATGCTGGCTGTGTGTCCACAAAGTACCGCAGCTCAGTGATGGGGATCATGGTTTATCTGTGGGAACATAGAGAATGTAGACAGTGATGTATTGAATTAAAGACCCCTGTCAAACATCAGAACAATACAGAAATGTCTGTTTACAAATTAAACGCTCCTTCCCTGTAATGCTTAAGCAACCTTTGCCTAAACGACGACACAAAACCTAGCAGAGAAATCAATGCTATAATTCTAACTAACAAGGGCACACATCAGAACACTGACCATGGTTAATTTGAAGGCTGTCAGGAGTAATGAATAGCGATTGTGACAAAGACTTTGGTGTTTAACTTTACTTAACTTTATGTTATTGATTTACCTATTGTTAAGCAGGCTCAATTAATCTTGCTTTGAAAGGACTTTCATACCACACAAGTCATTTCAAATGTTAGGGTTAACAATCAATAAAATATAAAGTAAATTTATCTGTGTTTTAAATTACTCCTACAAGATTAAGGTGAAGTGTTAATGGGCTGCCTATGTTAAGGAAAAAAAAAATACAGGCAAAGAAACAGCTGCCTTCAATATGTATGCAGGGTGTAAACGTGATAAATGACTAAGTTAGGTAGGCAGTAATTTCACACTTGTTAATCGTTAGAGGTTGTATTATTACTGTTCATCAGCAGTAATAACACATAAATTCCACTTCTCTATTCTGATGCTGATAATAACACAAAATCTGAATACCAAAACTAAAACAGGCACAACAACAGCCACCTCAAGGCACTTTACATTGTAAGATAAAGACCCTACAATAATACAGTGATGAGACAACATGAGATTCATCCATCTGTTTAACATGGGGTTTTCGGCCTATACAAGTAATGGAGCCAATTAATGAGGCAGGGTTTTCAATGCATATTAAAAGATTTTGGCACTCAAGTTCAGAAACATTTGAATTTAATTGTATGTGCAATGTAATTTACGAGAGCATGAGTAAGTCACAAAATGACTTATTTTAAGGGAAAACAGTATCGCTTAAGTATCCTTGGAAAACACACTGAATACAAGTTGCCCATTCACTCATGCTTTTTACATTAGATAAAAAGTGCTGTATGGATGTGCGTGTGCTTGAGTGAATGAGACTTGCTGTAAGAAAGCATTCTGAGTGTTCAAATTGAGTAGAAAAGCACTATATAAGTACCAGTTCATTTATCATTCAAATGTGTAGCCAACCTCAAAAATTTTGAACAGTTACCCACAGATTTAAATTGTTCTTATGGTGGGGTGGCCATGAATACATTCACTGAACAAAGCACATACACATGTTAATGTAATAACCATTGCTAAATAATTAAACAGAAACTCGACTTTCATTACTCATTCATTTACATCACAACTGTGGTGATATAACAGATAGTGGAGTTGCTCATAATCCAGTAGAGCTGGGCAATATAAGATTTTTTCAAATCACGATATGTTTTTTTCATTTCAGGCGATAACGATATATATCACGATATAAGCCAAATAACTATATTTGTAAGATTTAAATGTGCCGTTGCTCACAAGTAAAATGTGAAATAATCAGCAGCTTGTTTTGATTTAAATATTTATTTCATATAATAAGTTCAACAGGGTAGATGTACTTAAGGAACATGAGACTTTCAGATAAATAAAGGCAAATATTGCAAACTACACAAAAGGCAGCCGCTAAAGCGTTTCAAAATAGAACAAACAAAACAGACTGCTAAATTGTCAATTCCACTTAGAAACAAAATATTAATTCTAAAAATAAATCCTAGTTTGTTTTACAGAAGATCAGACAAAATTGACTAACTTTTGTCAATATCAAATAAACTGAGAACTAAAAGGAAATTCTCAATCTCTCCTTGTTGTATAGCTTCGCTTTTCAAACAGTTTTAACAGTTACTTTAGTCTGACAAAAGCCGAATGACGAATTAGCGCTTCCAGTCAGAGATTGAGCATGCACCGGTTTATTGTATTTCCAGACTTGCTTTTGGCACAATTTATAGTCCGCGCTACTCTGTTTTTTGTCAGATTTGAAATAGCCGAAATACCTCCACACTACGGAACTTCTATGGCACTTCCGTTCGACAATCTCTCCGGCATTGGAACCATCATCTGTTTTCTCTTCGGTAACCTTCGGTCACGCTCTCGGTTGATTTTTCTGTAGTCGGCACACTCGGGCGGCACGGTGGCTGGCTGCTTCCCAAACCAATACACATGTGCGGCTTGGCACTTGTGATGTACGTAACAAGTCACGTGACATGACGCTGCGGCTGTGATTGGTTTGGCTCTGGTTTGGCTGTTCTTTTTAAGAGGACAAGAGAGATGAGGCCTATCGCAATAGTTTAACCTTTCTATCGAGAAAAGGTTATTTCGCAATACATATCGTTATCGTTCTATAGCCCAGCTCTATAATCCAGCATGTGAGACAATTTCACACTGGATGGAAGATACACGCAGACAAGCCTTACTAAGCTGCTGAGGACACAATTATCAAAATTAAAAATGAATTCATTACATATTTACTCGCTGAAGAAAGGAATTCCTTACACTGCTCATTATATAACTTTTGCATTATTAACAAGGTGGTATGACATAATGTACGCTGTCACATTACCATGAGTTAACAACATAAACCTTATGCTACAGTCCCACAAAATGACACAAACCCATACTCTATCAAGGGCACACTCAAGATGTTTCTTTTAGCATGTAGGTATTAACACAAAGGTGACAGTAAAGATAATTAAACCAGCCCAAGGAGGATCCAAAGAGAAAAATGCTGTAGCCAAAGCAATGCTACTTTGGAGGCTATAGCGTTATAAACCCGACTGCTAATTACTAGTAACTTGTGAGCATATGAAAATGCCAAAACAGGTAATCCAACACTTTTTTTATTAAACCCTTTGAATCATCGTTTAACATCGTTCTGATTTCTTTGCTATTAGTTTTGTATTGGTTGTACTAATACTAATACCAATATTTGGTGATTCAAAAAAATCTGATCCGATTCCAATATGCTGTCTGATACAATTTGTCCTTCAGAAAGAAGAAACATGAATAGATTAGTCAAACTCCAATAAAAAGTAATATCTCCTCAAAAATTTTAGATCACACAAAGTGAAGTCAGCTGATTAACACAAAATCAATTCATCATCCAAATATAACTGACAAACTTATGAAACACAAGTAATGACATACCAGACATGATTACTCAGACATGTATGTCTGAGTAAATACATGTATGTATGTATCTATGTATGTATTTGCAATTAGAACAAAAATGCATTGCAGGAAATTTTTGTCCCAATACTAGGATATATCACCTTCCTTATGATGAATGTTTAAGAAAAGTGAAGAACAGACACAAACATACAGAGACTCTTTCCTTTAGTAGGTAGGTTATGCATTATCTGGGGGATATTGCTGGACCAGCCAAAGTCATGCACTGCCTTAAAAAATCCAAAATAAAAAAAAGGCACATAATACATAGCTTATATAAAATGATAGGTTAACAATGTCCTATTAGGTATGAAAATGTGTTTTACTTACAGATTCTAATTGTAAAGCACAAGTCCTCCATACATAAACAGCCAAGAGCAATCCACAACTAATCTCCCTTTCCTCTGCTGTACATCAGAGCCAGATAAAGCCCTCTAAATTGCCACACCCAGCATGAAAGCTCGAGAAGTCACTCTTCTTAAGAAGATGTTCCGTTTTGGCTTGTTTAACCCAAACAACGTGACCGCCAGAGGAGCCACCTTGCTCCCCTGCTCTCTATTCTTAGTGGTTTCCGTTAATAATACCCAGAGTATTGTCTGTGGGGGCCTTGAGAAGTACCTCCCTCGACCTTCAGGAAGAGATCCTGTTTACCTTATAGAAGCTGCTGTCTCCAACAAGTGTCTCTCTGGAATACTCTACCGTCAGCTTTTGCAACCTCCCAAAAACACACACACACACACACACACACACACACACACACACACACACACACACACAAGAATCAAGACCTGGCATTCATCACAGAGCTTGTACTTTGGTAGGAAACTGTAATGACAAACAGTCGAGACGCCTAGTCTGATTCTTGGCCAAATAAGCATATTTAGACTGGCCAGTGTTCAGAGAATTTTTTTTTCGTCACACAGCTAGCAGCTGTTGTATTGCGACCGCCTGTATGGATGGATGATGAAGCAGCAAAAAGTACTCTTAGTCAATAAACTCACAAGTTTGGAGGTGTTATCTGTGCTCCAGTGCCTGATGATGTCCCTGGCGGACTAGCCACTCACTGAGTATCCAGAACTCTTCATGAAGCATTGCCTGTTTTATCAGAACGCAGTTGAATCTGAAAGAGAAAAAAACAACAACCCACTTGGTATGAAAATGCAGTCTTCTAGACTTTCTGAAAAAGGCAATTAAAGTTACGCAAGCGTGCATTAAGTGATGTTTTAAGCTGATGCTTCTTAAACGAGTGATTATTTATTATAATAATAATAAAAATAAGCTAGTTTGAATTTGTTTTTGTCACCGCTCATAACCATAACATGGGATGCCTTTGTCATCTAGCTAGCTGAGCAAGCTACTCAACATAAAGTTAAACCCGGGTGCTTTTTTTCTTTACATGTGCCCTTAAATAACATGAAAGGCTGTTTTTAAGGGCGTGAACTAGAATCTGACAACAACCAGCTCATTTGTCAATACCGACCACGAATAAAGGCATTTTGTTGTTAAGACATGTTCGCAAACTAAGCTATACTGTTCAGCTAGTGAGCTAAGCTAGCTACATGCAGACCAGGGGTTCTTGTTATCGTTACATCCTCGGCAAAAGCCGCACCTAAAACGACACTAGTACACTACTTACAAACACTGAAAATTTTGTGAGGTGCTCAGCTTACTTCAATTGGTGTGCTGTGTCCAAAACTAAGGATACTTTATCAATAGTTCCTTACAAATTGCGTTTACTGTTGCCAGCTAGCTGTTGGTTTTCCATCGAGAACTCGAAACCCACCGAGCGGCGGCAGTGTGGCAGTATTACAAAACGTAGAAGAAGAACGCTCTTCTTCCTTTGTTTTTCCGGGAAGAGATGTGTTTTGGCAGCGAACATTTTGTGTATTTATTGAGTGCACGACAGCGAGTAGTGCATTTTAATTCCAGAAATGTTGTCTGTCAACTCTTTGAGGATTGTTGGCTCATCCCGGGCTGTACTGCACTCAAGCTGGCTAACCACCAACCGAGTGCTTGTTTTTAAAGCTGTTACATGTACAGCTTACTGTATGTCTACCAGCCTCCACAGGAAGGGCACATGGCACAGCAACATGAACTTCAGAGCACTCAGAAAGGGGAGAGAGCTGTTTTACTTCACTAATCAATCCGCTCCACCCAGGAATTGCTGCACAAGTCAAATTAAATTGAACTGTTGGAATTGTAAGCATCTTCTTGACAAAAGACCTGCATTTTTCTGCGTGTCATGCAAAGCAGTGCAGCCCCCAGTAGAAGGGACATCCTACTTCAAGATCATGGATTGGTGAGTTTCTTGTTTACCTTAACATATGCCACCATCTTTAAAAGTTTTCCAAATGAATCCAGTCCATTCATTTTATCACGTGTTACCTTTTTCAGTGACTACACATTCACACTGGACACACAAAAGCTGCAGAAAACATACTTGCAGCTCCAGCGGTCTCTTCATCCAGACAACTTCAGCCAGAAATCTGTGGTAGGCAGGGGCAATGTAAGGGGAAAAGAGATCTTGCTGAGTGAGATGGTCTGTGAGTCAGAGAACACTTTCCTTTCTATTAGTCGCCCTGTGACACAGGAAATTGGGTCTGACCCCTTCTCCCCATTTGTCCACTTGTGTGTGCATTTTTGTTTTGTCGTGATAATTCATTGTGACTTGGCCATGGGAGTAACTCTGGGCAAAGTAAGAAAGATGGGCTTGTTAAAAGACACTGACAAATGTAGGGCCTGGTTAGGGAACTTGGTCTGTTTTAAGCTACCAAGCAAGCTCAATTCATAGGAAGCAAATTTAAGGAATTGTAGATGTGTAGACGAACAAGCATTTGTTTCTCAGGGAAAAGAAAAAAGGGGTATAAAATTGGGAAAAATGGACAAATCTAGTAATATAAACAGCTTTACATGTTGAATTGCATCAGTGTAGCTGAAGGGATTCTTGGCTGCTTATTTCAGCTATGAAAACCAGGAGGCAACTCCAGTAAGCCAACATGACTTTATGTTATTTATGCTGATAATTAAACTAGTGCTTTTCCTGCTGTGAAATGTAAAAGTGCCTACTAGGACCTGCGTTCCAAAACATTTTATATTATAACTGCAAAATCCAAAATGAGAAAAACAGAGGTATATTAAATATATTAAATATTTATACAGGTTAAGAAAGCAAAAGTTAACTTTGGTTTAGAAAGTTTTCATTCAATTACTCATCTTGCCTTATGAATGGACACTTTGTAACTCCTACCAGGATAAAAGGTTTCATCACAAGCTGCTAAATTGTGACTCAGGAGTCTATTTGGATAGATTAGGGAAAGTAAGTAGCTGAGATTGTTCCCCTGAAAATAATAGAGTGAAAATAGGGGGTAAGATGTTGTGACTATTAAGATGTTTTATATGCGGATTATTTTCTTTATTAGTCAAATAAATTTGGACGGTTTGGCTTAATAAGATCACTGAAACAATTACTTCATTGTCAAGACAGTCCTGATTGTGTTTGTCTATATTGACCCATTATGTAAACTCTAATTACACTAAGGAAGGTCCATGTCACCGTCTTTTTAATTTGGCCTCTGTACACCACCAAGGTAGATTTAAGATGTTTAAAACTGTCAAAATTACACTGAAATGCAAACTTTTAACTTTGATTCAATGGGTTTAATACAAAGTATTGCATTACCTGCTTCGGCATTTTCAGATCCTCCTAATTGGACAGTTGATTGACAATCACAGTCATGGTGAGGCTGAGGTTGATTCCTTGTGTATTTTATGAAACTTTATGTAGATATAATATCTGACATTCATTCAAAGTTTTGAACTAATATCTAGTGGATTTTCACTGAAGTTCTTAATATGATGTCAGATTGCTGCGAGTAAATAGGGTCACCATAATACTGAAAAAAGAAAAGGAAAAATTAGGAAAGCACTGGCCAGCTGAATAACACCAAAAGCCTTGATGGACCATTATAAGGCAACTCTAGTAGATGGTTTACAACAAGACAACACCAACAAAACACTGGTTACACTCAAGAACAAGGAAGTCATAATAGGAAGAGAGATGGCTCATCATCTGCCAAACATGGTAGATGCAGTGTTATGGGAGGGACATAATATGCCCCACAAGTGTTTACTGATCAAGCGACCGCTACCAGAAGTAGCAGGATCTATTCTCAAGTGCAGTTTCTGCTCACGTTCACCCAAATACAGCAAATCAGACAGCACATAACAGATAAGCATACTGCAAACGCAACCCAAGAACTTCTCAAGGCAAAAGAATGGGATAATCTTCAATGGCCAAGTGAGTCACCTGATCTCAACATAGAAGAGCATGCTTTTCAGTAAATGAAGATAAAACGGAAAGGAGAGACATACAAACAAGCAGGAAGTGAGTAGTTAAGACTAGCAGAGGGTCTCAATGGGAGAAACAGCATTTGGTGATGTCCATGTTTTCTGGACTTCAGGCAGTCATCAGAAGAGAATTTTTGTCCACGTATTAAAAATCATTCTCATATTTAAAGTTATATCATCAGTTTTCCAAATTTTTTTGTGCCTTTGTTTAATCTAAAATCCACTGCAGTGGTGTACAGTAGCACGGCAGTATTTTTGTTTTGTTTGTCCCCCCCCCAGCTACAAATAGGATGATATTGTCTATTGCTCTGGAAGAGTTTTGACAAGTTGAAGAAAAATGACACAATTTTGCTGTGATGTCATCAGGGGTATTTCAGCTTGTGCTGAGAGATGGCGAATTTAGAGTTTGAAAGATAAAGATATGTACCAAGGGGAGAGGATATCTTGGAAAAACCTATCACTTGCATTATTTTGCATTATGTCACTCTGTGACATACTTTTTTTTTTTTTTGTTCATCAAAAATTAGTAAGGAGCAGTATGTAGGACTAAGGCTGGGATTCTGTTCCCTTTAGACGAGCACACAGAATGCAGCTAACTTTAAGGTTATATAATTATATAGCTTTGGTTGTTCATTTGTTTACATTTTTTGCTTTAAAATCCAATTAGCTTTCATTTAGTTTCTAGATTTTTGTTTTCTAAATTTCAGAATATTTAGTTGTAATTAAGTAATTAAGTAATTAAGTTGCATATATTTAAAGGATATTTAACAGGTAGCAAATTTCTGATGTAATTAAGTTATGTAAATATCCCAGACTCAGCAAATATACAAACCAGTGCCTTCTCATGCTTGATGTTTTGACAAACTCAGCCAAATTGAGTCTGACAATGACAAATGTACAGGTAAAATCGCATAGTGGCTGGGCAGAGAAGTTCCACAGGCAAAATAAATGGTAGGTTATGTAACTGCAGAAGGTAGAACACCCATATTAGTGTCATCGAGCACAGAGGGTGTAGTTTGCAACAATATGACTACCCCCTCACCTTACTGTTTGTTTGTTTTTTTATGGGGGGGGGGGTTGCATCATATTTTTAGCTGAGCATACACCAGTGTGCAAACACTAATTTAATACTGAATGTTCTTTTCTTACAATAAATCCTGTACAATGGACATTTAAGAGTTCCATAACTTTGTGAGGTAAATACTAAACCACTAGAGATTTTTTTTCCATGAAATAGACAATAAAAGGAAAGAAGTTTAATTTAGGAAAGAAGTCTGATGTTTTCTTAATCTTTGCATTTGTAAATTGTCACTTCCTTTAGTTCAAAAAAGAATTTTGTGTCAGGTTTGAGGTTCCTGCCAAATCTTATTGAGCCCACAGCTCATTTACGGTGAGACTGTAAGGGTGATCACTTGCCTAACAATTTCACATAAAGAAATAAGGCTTGTCCCAGTGCATCAGTTTTAATGTGTTAGATGTTATTTTACAATGTGGTAAATAGTGTTAAAACTCCCCATTTTCCATTTCCCCCCTTGTAGATCATTAAGAAAAATGCATGGCAGTTTACGAGAATAAACATTATGAATGCAAGATGGAGAGGAGATGTATTGCTTTGGGTGTAATTTATTCTGTACACTCAGGTGGAAAAGCGAAAGGCAGAATGTTGTCATGATATGATATGAAAGCTAAACTCATATTCAGCAGAATGTGAGAGGGGAGAGGTAGCCTAAATTGTTTCTTTATACACAACCTGTCCAATATTGTACTGAATCTGTTTTATTTATCACCACCTCTGGCCATTTTTTTCTTAATTAGACATCTTCCACCCTCAGGGGTTTGCATCATATATAGAAAAGTCATTACTTATATGAGGCAGCCACCTACTGCATTGGTTGTTATTAGAGAAACAGCCTCACACGATGGGCCCATGGGTCAGAGCTTCCGACTATTGATTTTCACCAGAGCCGACAGACCTGATAGCTGCAAAATGTTCTCAGATCTGCCAACCATTTCGGAGCTCTCACCCCCGCTCCCACCCAAACCTCACATCTTGTTTCCGCACATTTGTCATGTCAAACTCACACCTGCATCTCCTGAAGGGTCCCACACTGCTTGACTGCAAGAGTTGATGCATGTCATACAGATAATTATCAGTATCATAAAGGTTTTTGACAATGCTATAGATTGCGATTTCAAAGTGTAAAATCACTCACATTTTCTGTGAATATTGTAAAGGTTCATTCTTTCAAATCCATAGCAATACAAATAAAAACAAAACATTATAATACAGCCTTGCTTTTCCTTTTTAATAAATGATTTTGGATTGAACTTGCTATGCTTAGAAATAATCCTAACACAACACATCCCTCTTTTGCAGAAAGAACAGGAGTATTCAGAAAGCCAGTCTGCTCTCGTTAACAAAGCATACGGCACTCTGCTTAAGCCTTTGAGTCGTGGTCTTTATATGGTGAGTTTCAAATCTCTGCTTTAACTTGTAGCAAAATTCGTAATTACAAGGTCTGTCTGTGTGATCACGTTCGTCACCATTTGGCAGTCAAGACTGGTGTCTTACATCTAAAGGAGCAACCTTTGACAGACTCCCATCATATGTTTCAGCTGGAACTAGAGGGAATGAATATAGAAGAGGGCACAGACTCTGGAGCTGATTCAAATTTTCTAATGAAGCTGATGGAGATTAATGAGGCCCTCGATGAAGCACAGACTCCAGAAGAGGCCATTATGATTGGCCGAGATATAAAAGGTAAACAAGTTGTTATTTTAACTTTACTTAAGTAGATTTCTAGCAAGTTGTTTGCCTAATATAGCAAAAGTGGATGTGTAATGTACATTTTTCTGCATGTCAGATGTATCTACTTCAGTCTAAATCGTCAGTTATTAAAGTGTGAGATGAGAATCACTTAATGGCTGAACTGCACACATGCTTGATTTTAAGGGTCAAGGTTGCAATCCCTTAGATTTCAGCTCTGGTCTATCTGGAAACACCTGTGGTTACCATAGTAACCTCAAGTGCAGTGTAGCACTACATCTAACACTCCTCAAGGAGCTACTCTTGTCAGAAATACAACAGAGAAGCAAGGGATTTACCCATTTTCACAGCAACCAAACAGACCAGCACTGGTGGAGTGCATATGTAGGCAGATTGAATCCAAGGTGAGAATGACATGAACAATGAAATATAGTAAATGAAAAGGTCATTAAACACTGAATACACAGTAATTACTCTGAATCATTAATGCAGAATAAATACTAAAAATGAACAGGATAAAAAAAAAAAAACTGGATTATGGAAGAATGTACTCGTGTCCCAGGAAATGCAGTGTGAGCAGCTTTGAATTTCTCATTGTGATTAAAACTGCTCACGCTGAAGGTGTCACAAGAAAAACATTTTTAAATGTCAATTGTAGTGCAAAACGCTCAGCATAATGTATGTCTGTTTGCTACTGCAAGGGGCTTTATACATGGCAGACAGCAGTCTCCACACGCGGGTATCTATTAGTCCTTAAAGACAATGTCCCTATACAATTGTTTTGGATTTTTCAAACAGAGCCAGTTGCTGGTTGATGGAGCAGATACAATTGTGTGCCTTCAGATTCAATTCAGTATAGCTCACATCATGCCGCATGTGGCAGAACTTGCAGATTTTGATGAGTTTTTATTGAGCTTAAGGATGATTAAAATTTAACCTTGTCTCTGAAGAGGACAAATCATAGGATATTAGGAAATGTGCTTGTCCAATGGGAACAGTTTCACTGACTACAGTAGTTTTTAATTTGCCCCCAATTTTACATAACAAATGACCCATTACATTACAGAAACAGTCATAATTGCCTCCCAGTAAAGTCAGTACGTGACAGACTTACCTATGTGTATAGAATCTGTACAGTTTCTAAGTAGATCTCTTCACTGTGAATAAACAGCACCACGTGTGGGGTATGTTGTAAACACGTGCAGATATAGAACTTGCCTTTTCCTTACCTGCAGGAAAACTGGCAGACTTGACAGCGCATATAGATGCTGCTCTTCGTAAAGGTAATAATATTCAGATGCTGCTTTGAAACAGTGTCTATTCCTCCCACTCATTCTTCTTTGTGTGTTTTGTAATCTAGTTGAAGCTTCCCTTTAAGTCACTGAGTGAGTCATTGATTAAACCTCCTTTTTCACCCTCTTTCTTTCTTTTTCAGGAGAGCTACAGGCCGCCAAAGCAATACTTGTCCAAATGAAATACTATGCAAACATTGAAGAGAAAGTAAAGGAAAAACTTTCAGAATTCCTGTAGTTTTCTCACTATTTAAACCACTTTATGAAACATTTTTGACACTTTAAAATGTTCTGTATAGAATTGCACAATCTATTGTACATTTATCTTGGGAGCATGTAATGGTATTTTTAAAGCTGAATAATAAAACTTTACTTGTAATGCATTATCTACAGTTGCATTAATGGTAAGAATTGCTTTTTTTCAAATGAAAAACTATAGATATATATCTGTAATTGGATGAGTACAATATCTCCCTTGAATTCCACTAATTTCACAAGGCTAATCGTATCAACTTGTACCTAATGTGTCATTAAATATGACAGAGATCTATAATTGGCTCTGATTAAAATGCTGCTCTGAGTGTTTATATGATTATCCTGCCTATCAGTTCAGCTTTTTGTCATGTGGGGCTCACACATAGATGAACGATCCCCACACAGTTCCTTGGAGTACCTTTAGGTGGAGACATAACACCTTAACAATCATAAAGAAAACCAATACTTGGTGTACAAGCCAGATATAAGACCAGAAGGAAGCCCTTAATTGAGGCGGACAACCTTATGAATTATTAATGGTTGTTTCATATGTCGCTTTAATGCTACGATAATCAGGATGACCCCCACTGAATGACGATTATTTGATGAACCTAAGATTCCTGCTCTGTCATTTATAGCTCATAAAATGAATGTAAATAGCCCCTGCACACCTGTGCCAGCAGCGTACTGGTGCATGCATCAGAATGCAAATTCATGCACCTTCACATACACATGCTTTCATTTTTCTTTTTTTTTTAATGTAATAGAGAAAAATCCTCATAATTTTGTAATTACAAATTGGAGTTCAAATCACATGTAGAAAGATACTGATAGAGGTGTAACTACTCTGACATATGTGGTGAGGCACTTCATCTGAGAGAGCCATTAGCTCACATATCCTGTAAAAAATATCATTTGTATATACTAGGATCACACACTAAACTGAATGTGTATGAATAGTTTTACTCTTTTTTTTTCTGTGTGTGACAGTCCTCCGGAACATCCTACTGTAACACATCCTGACTGGTGGTTTATCAAGTCTGGAACAACAGTGTCATACGTCTGAGGCTGTTTGGGTTTTTTAAACTATGGCGAAGCAGTTTCCTTAATGCACATGGATAGACAATGAATTAAACAGCAACTACGGTGCCTTTAAATTAATGAGAAAATGTGATCGACTAACAGTGAGGCCACTGCTGTCTCCCAGAAGTTGCTGAAATTGAGTTTGAAAGAGAAGAAAGAAGGGAAAAAAACTCACTACAGGCGAGCTGTGAAATTGACTTGGATGGGATGGCTTGGCAAAGGACCTAGGTACATGTGACCACTGTGCAGCTTCTGGAATGAGTTAGGTCAGCTTCAGGCGCACTACATAATGTGCTGCTGCTGATGGAGTGTTTACTAGTTATGCTGCACTGGTTTAATCCAACAGTTATATTGAGGTCTACATGACCCAGGACATAGAATTCCCCTTAGTTACTGTAATGGTTGTACATCTGGCAAAATAAGCTTTTTTGATTTCAAGATTTCGATGACATGGGAAGATACCGCTGTTATGTGTGGTCACTAAATATGAAGTTCCAGCCTGTAGCTGGTCAGCTTAACTAAAGGTTTTCAAGAAAAAAGTAGTGCAAACTTGGCATCTCCCAGGTATTTGTCTGCTCAATTTTTTAAAGCAATTTTTTAAGCATTGTTCAGTTATCTAATCTAGAATCACCAGTCACATCGGACACAGTTTTTTATATATATTTTTTAAATTCAGACTTGTGAATTCTACCTTTTTTGTTTTTGTGAAATTCTCTCACATTAAAATTTTTAAGACCCATGTCTCTTTTTTTCATATCTCTGGATTTGCATATAGGGGTAAAAGAAGAATAGCTATCCTGGTTTTGTCCCAAAGAAATAAAATTAGCTCGCCATCGCCTTTTACTTTGTCTCTCAGTGTTTTAATCGTCAGAAATACCAGTGTACAGTTTAACTAGATGATATCTTCTGGATATGTACTTGCACAGTGACAGCACATAGACTGTTACTTTGATTCGATTCCAAAGCAACCGAAGGCAATGTGTCTCTTTTCTCCCCCAAATTTATGCAAGCAAAGTTAACTAGCTCCTGGCTATAGTTTAATACTTAAAGGATCCACATAAGAGTGATATAAATCTTCTTGTCAAACTCTTAGCAAGAAAGCAGATGTGTACGTCCCAAAATTTCAAAATATTCTTTAAATTCTGTTGCAGTAATAATGAGATGTGTACTAAAAAGTAATACTTTTGCTGATCTAAAGTCAAATGATAGACAATGCTTATTTTGTACTCCAGGCAAGTGTTTCACTTGATTTTAGAATATCAAAAGCCTCTAAAATTGTGACTAATACTGGTTGTAGTCAGAGCGTAATTCATCTCCGTATTAGCTTAGCATAAATATAACAACAAGATTAATATATCACAATGTTGTCATAATCCCATTAAACTGCAAAGGTAGTGAGCCACTGCAGCACTTTTGACTAAAACCTACTGGAAAAATCCCTCATTACATCATCTTTGGCTTGCAACGAAGGAGTATAAACACCCAAGGATTCCATATAGACCTTCAGCTATGGATGTAAACAGTCAGCAGATAAAGGTCTGAGTGACAAAGGTCAAAACCAGTAGAGGATGACTCAATGGAGCAACGCTCTTTTCTGCTCACAGCTGAGCAGAAGTCTTTATGATCCTCACCCCTCTGCTTAGCTTGTGTGTGACTCATCCGCTGAGTGTCAGTCCCATCATCCCACAGACACCTCAAGCCTGCTGCGTGTATCCTACTTGTGTCTCACAAAGTAGTAATACCATTATAATCTACCACCATTAGGCTTTCTTCCCACTCTCAATTTAGTGTGTTTTCTGTTGTTTGCCTCATTCTTTTAATAACTGGAGTCTCTGTGTCATAAAAGAGAGTCTCTAAGCTATAGCTTACTTAAAACATGCTGCTCTATAAAATGTTCTCTTTGAATATTTGGATCGGGACTGTCTACACTTACTGGCCACTTCATTAGGTACATCTGCACAACTGCTTGTTCATGCAAATATCTAATCAACGATATAAGAGGATATACAGATGTCTCTGAATACTTCGCCTATTGAACCTTCAAGCAGATGGGTTATGTCAGTTAAGAACAGGAAACCGAGGATACAGTTTGCATGAGCTCACCAAAGCTGGACAAGTGCAGATTGGAAAAATGTTGCCTAATCTGATTAGTCCACTGCGACATTTGGTGGAAGGGTCAGAATTTGGCATAAACAACATGAAAACATGGATCCATCCTGCCTAGTATCAGTAGTTCAGGCTACTACTAGTGGTGTAATAGTGTGAGAGAATGGCCACTTTGAAAATTTTGGGCCACTTAGTAGCAATTGAGCATCATTTAAAAGCCATAGCCAACTGTATTGTTGCTGCCCATGTCTATCCATTTGTGACCACGGGGTATTCGTCTTGTAATGGCTGCTTTCAGCAGGGTAACACGCCACGTCACAAAGCTCAAAATCATCTCAAACTGGTTTCAAGCTGGTGAATATGACATTAAGTTCTCTGTAGTCAAATGGCCCTCACAAGCAGCAGATCTACCAGAGCACCTTTGGGATGTGGTGAAAAGGGAGATTCACATCATCGATGCTATCATGTCAATATGGATCCAAATCTATGCGGAAATATTTCCAGAAACGTATTGAGCCTGTGCCAAAAATGGGTCTAACCCAAACAAGCAAGGTGTATGCAATAAAGTAGGTGTCAAGTGTAAATTAATTATATAATCATTATGTTATAACTTTCATATTGCTTACTTGCACACACACATCACCCTTTCAGAATACTCATTTAAATGTACGAAGAATGTTATTTATTTTGAGTGGATGGAAACCATCATTGGTGACAAGTAGATATAATTTCTTTTTTCTGTAGTACACAGTAAGTCCTTTCCCTATGTACTGCTAAATGGGAGGGAGGAGGAAATCAATGAGATCAGAATCATAAGGGCATTCATACAATGTAAATCACCTTTCAACATATATCATGAAAAAGTCCGTTCAAACGCCAAAAGCACACTGCAGTGAATCAGCACTGATGATACCTGTTCTGCCTGCCAGTGTTATCCAATGCTCTGTATGTTTGCCAATGTTTGTCTCCATCAAGAGACCACACATAGCTAAAATAAAAACAATACTAATACTCTTTGTCATAGAGTATATCAGCAAAACTGTTAACTCTCCTGGCTTTAAACTAACAAAGGAAGGTGGATATGCTGCACTTATTATGTCATATAATGTGATGTGTATACATCAGTCAGGTATAATGCTAATTGTGAGGCTAAGATGGTCTATTTTTTAAACACACTGTTAATAACATGAGAGTTTTTTTTATTGTACATAGTATAAAATGGCTAGTTTCTGTATTCAAGCTTGGGTCAAGTGAGGGACTTGTAATACCAATTGCAGAGACCCTGTTGGTGGGTTAAACACTGATAATAAGTTTTCACACTCTGTGGTGTATGAAATTCTAATTTCAAATGTCCTTTGTTAAAAAGGTACTTTATGATTCCAATCTCATCTTTCATCCTTTCAAACTCTGTTTAAAATTCATGCAAAGACATGCAAAGACTGAGAAAAGATTTGTGCCCGTCACCACCGACTTAGGTTCCACTGATTGCATTGAAGTTTTCTGTATAATTGTTGTGTTTTTGGTTTTGTTATTTTCTTTCTAAAATTTTCTTTTTTTTGTTGTTATCGGTGCATTTTGCATGTCAGAGCCCGTCTGCGACCCTGAACTGAATAAGTAGTTACAAGGATGTATGAATGGACAAAGCGCTGTAGAATTTTTCTGAGGCAATGTAAAAAGTTGAAACACAACAGCTCAAGAAATGAAATTCCTGAAGTCAGTATTTTACACAAAAGTACCCACGAACTATGAAGCACAGCAGTAATGTTCTGTTTTATCTGAACTTGCACCAGCATTTTATATTAAACATGAGCAACAGAAGTTTGTAGCACGATATGAATACTGTAATAATATTTTTTCCCTCTGCTTTTTAAATATGTGGGAAGCTTGCATCACCTTCCTCATTGATTGTCTCAGTTTTCTGCTCCTTGTTTCATT